AGACTCGGGAAGTGATCAGGATAGTGAATCTTGCAACGACATGCGCAAGTGTCTTCGGCACCAACGAGCTTGGTTTAGAAGAGGTCAACGATCATTTCCTACGCATATTCGTTCCCGAGAACCACGAAATACCTCGGGATGCAGCGGAATTATACATGGGTCTGAAGACTCAGATTTTCCTTGCCGTTTTAGAAAGTGAACAAGAAAAAGCCAGGGATCAGTTTCTAGACGACCTCTTTGTTACAAGGCTGGAGAGTTCTTTGCAAGAACACCACCCAAGTCTTCCGTTGACGGCTACTGAATATGAGTTTATTGCAAATGCAAAAGCGCGAAAAGCAATGCTCCTTAATGAATCTACCGACATGGATAGTATTCGTATGTTTGCCACGTCTAATTAAGCTCACAGACAATAATTCTAACCATTCCCCAGAGGCGCTTAGCAAACAGTTTACATATGAGGCCTTTCTCGATAGTCTAAGCACGTTTCTCAATGACCACATAGAAAGTATTAGAACCCAAGGTACCGGAAGGGTGGAGACTACAACGTCAATGGAGGATATTGCGCAAGACGAACATGACGGCCAAACTTTACACGAGACTTTTGACATAAACGCTATGATTGCTGAGGCCTCAAGGGCAGCGCAGAGTGCTCTGGAGACAACTGGAGAAGAGTCTCACGAATTAGATGACCTCTCGGCATTCCTCGCAGAAAATGTTTCTAAGGCGGTCGAGCAGGCTAAAGAAAGTGCCACAAGTTCAGAACTACCATCTGCTATCGCATCTGCGGCGGAGAGTGCCTCGAGGGCGACTATGTTGGCTTTGCAAAGCATTCAACAGAACCAGTATCACCCGACGACACTCCCCCAAGCTCCTGGTAGGTTCAGTAATATTGATGGCGAGAGAAATGACCGTTCACCTGATGTAGCTCAAACACCCTCGGCCCAGCCTCCAAATCACAGCAACTATCAGGTTCAGCAGACGCAGCAAACGCAGTCACAGCAGCAGTATTACCATTACCAGCAACATCACGCAACTAATGGGATGCCTTCGTATCAAACAGTCAACGATCACCTCCCTCCAAATCAGAGCGATTCGACCCCAGCGCTCTATGAGCGTGCCCGACAGGCGGCAGCAGCACGGTCTTCCACCCATGCGCGGCGGGAAGGTTCTCACTCTACTCGACGTCCTTGGAGCCCAGAGGAAGAAAAGGCACTTATGATGGGACTTGATATGGTTAAAGGCCCTCATTGGTCGCAAATATTATCCCTCTTCGGACCGAATGGATCTATCAGCAATATCCTCGCAGACCGTACCCAGGTACAATTGAAGGATAAAGCTAGAAATTTGAAGTTGTTCTTCCTCAAGACAAATTCAGAAATGCCATACTATCTTCAATGCGTTACCGGCGAGCTGAAGACGAGGGCTCCTACACAGGCTGCTAGAAAGGAGGCTGAGGAGAAGGCAAGACTCAACTCGGAGGAACAGCAAGCACATATAAATGGTATCTTGACATTGGCCGGCGGGCTGCAGAACAATGCTTCATCGATACATAGCCCTTCGGCAGGAGCGCCCAGAAGCGCAACACCCAACCAGCCGTTATCGCACCCTGGATCACAACCAGGAACACCAAGGATGCCACATCAATCAATCCAGCAGTCTGCGCCAACCCCATCTTCTCTACCCCGTCCAGTAATACCCGCACCACAGCCAGTCAGCCTCCCTACTTTTACATCAACGTCTCATCACCACACTCAACCACATATTTCCCAGGCTGAGCGACATACGACTTCTATGACAAATACTCCTACACCTCCAGTGATGGTTCCGATAACAACTCAAGCTACTTCTGCCGTATCCCCACCCATCGTGGCGCCGATAGCAACTACTGCCTTGGAAAGAAATGAACTTAGTAGTGTAGACGCCGCAGTGCTTGGTTTGAGAGCCGCTTTAGAAAGAGAAAGAGAGAGAGAAAGGGAAAAGGAAAGGGAAAACAACGCGCTGGCTGCTGTTGCCGCTACAGCCTACTCTGATGAAGGAACAATACCCTCTACTAATTCCGCTACACCCGCCGCCACGTCGACTGAATAGTATTCAGTTCTAATGGAAGGACGCAGCGTATGATTTTTCTAGGTATAACTCACGAGACTCATTTCATGCATGATTGATACCCCCTGGGCGATTTTGGTGATTCGGAGGCAGCGAGGTAGTCAAGGCATAGCCGGACAAACATTACATAGTTGGTATAAATCGAATTAACAAGTTCCAGTTGTGGATTGTGTTATACAAGTTCGTCTGGGTCCGCCCCACGGGCCGTAACCACTCAGCCCTGGGCGCGGATACGTGCGAGTGATGGTGCACTCTGCCGATAAAGAATACCGGGTGGCTTTCTAGAATCTCCTGTCGCTCGCCATAACCGTGTTTTCTCCGTCGATCAACAATTTCATATTCTGCGGAGACATGCGTGAAAACAAAGGCTATGTACTAGACAACGACGTCTAGCTAATCTCACGGCATCGTAATCCTAGCACTAATATCTACCTAGGTTTGACTCAGCCTTATACTTAGCTAGTAAAAACGGTCCAATCGTTTCGCATCCCTCTTTGATAAACTTGAGCCGCAGCCTACTTCATATTCCTAACCTCGACAGGCTTGTGACAAGATTATGGATATGACAAACTACCTACCTAAGGTATGCCATGACCATTATGAAGTTGCTGGCCCTACGGGAGCCTACTGGACACAAAGAATATCGTGGCCGGGGCACAGTACCCATTTCGAGATGTTTGATCACTTCGATCGGTCGCCTCAAGCTTTGCCTACGCCCACCGAACACGTCATGCCCGTGTTGGCTCCGCCACGTTGATGTCTATCCGTCCCGCTGTTTGGGCCATGAGAAGCTTCCGGGCCGTTATATTTGTCTTCGGAGTCCGTACTGAGTCAAAGATGTCGACCCATCCTCAAGTTCAGCTAATCTTAGACCCGACAATACACCCAGAGGACAGAGTAACCCCTCGTCATTTTTACGGCACACAATAAAATAGCCTAGGAACACCCTGTTTTGAGGTCGATAGAAACGAGAGACATGGCGTTGTCGCCCTGGCAGCTATGCTTCCACGCGGACCTCAAGTGTCGCGTGAGGGCTTGTAGTAATAGAAGGGTTATGGGCAACACGGCGTCCTCTCTTTATTGTCGACATCACGCTTGTACCGTGTGCCTCAAATTTAAGACGTGTTTAAAGCGCGGCCACGGAGAGGAGAAGATTTGTCATCACCGTGAGTTCTGCCCGGCTCTCTACCCCTAATCCCTCACAGGATAGGTATAAAGAAAAGGAGGGGAGGAAGATAAAACGGGAAGCCTGAATAGGGGGGGGTTCTCTCGGAAGTTTTGAATAAGCAGATCACCAACACGGTTTACCTTCTACTCTTAGATCGTTGCTGCAAATACATCGAAGCAGGCCGGAGGTGCCACTGTCCAAGAAAGGGGCATAACCCGAGTTTCCCCTTTTGCGCCGAGAAACGTTGGTCTCACCCTCACTGTTTGATTTATCTCTCCGCCAAACACATTTATAAATCCCTCTTAAAGCTGCCGTATTTCTCGCTAATATCCGGTCATTCTAGATGGTTGTGCTCTCACCGAATGCAAGGAACCACGCTGTCCAAAGAAGAGCTCGCCATACTGTAATAAACACGCCTGCAGCATCAAGGATTGCGACCAGCCGCGGCAGAGTCCGGGTCTCGTACGTAGTACCAAACTCTTTATCCCCCTTTCCATTATTTCGAGACTAGGATTGCTTTATGGGGGCTATCACTCTTACCATATATCGATATTCCCTAGACCCCTTTTCTAGCAAAGGCATTAGTTATTAATCTGTCATTGTAGTGTTGTCGCCAACACACATGCCACGGCCGGGGATGTGTAAACTGTATTAACAACGACTCTTCATCCCCTCCGCCCTCGGGCCAGGGTCCCCCGTACTACTGCCACGGCCACCAAGTATGCCAGGCAGACGGGTGCGAGTCCCTCGTATTCCACGACATCTCGCACCGACCAGCCAAATATTGCTTCAGGCACTTCTGCGCAGCGTCAGCGACATGCGAAGGGCAGCGTGTAGAAGGTGACGGGGCACAGGCCGTAAGTCCCACCCTCTTTCCCTGGCCTAACTGAAACCAACTCCCCCCTCCACCCCTTTTCTTCTCTACCAGCAGAAAACAAGCCTCTTAAACCTCTAACTACCAACTATACCAGTGCCGCGACCACTCCTGCGCTCTCCACCCAACCTGTTCCAAGCCCCGCGTGGATATAACCCGGGGTCTCTTCTGCGAAGACCACGAGTGCGCGGACCCCGCGTGCCGGAAGCAGACGTACGACGGCGGCGGTGGCGTCGCGGGAAGCCAGTGGTGCGCGGACCACATGTGCATGGCGGCGCTGCTGCGGCAAGCAGACTGCGCGAATCGGCGCGAGGGCACGGCAGTGAACCCGTTGTACTGCTCTGACCACGGACCTCATGCGCACCATCCGCATCCCGGTTTACATCAGCATAGCCGTTGCCGCTGCCGAGGAAGTGCGAGTGGTGGCTGTCGAGGTGGGATATGTTTCCGGGCCACGGCGGCAGTGATAGCGGGGGATGGCGGCGGAGGAGGAGGAGGAGGGGGATTTTGCGAGTGTCATTGCGGTGGAGATGATGATGACGATGGCGGCGATGACGACGACGATAGTATTACGGACCATGGTGACGGATGTGGAGGAGGTGGCGGGGGCGGGAGCGGCGTAGGGGTGGAAATAGAAGGTTGTGTTTGTGGTGGTTCTTGTGACTGCGGTGGTGGTAAGAAGAAGAGATAGTGAGGCTGAGATTGGAAGACATATTGAATAAATAGACCACTGGCTGGTTAGTAAATCGGTAATGAGTTGCAGACATTGCTCTCAACCCTCCATATTAAAATAGAGCACGGTAGTATAAAAAAACTGCGAAGAAAACGGCCTGATGGGCGCAGGTGCTTGAGCAATTGGAACCACCTCGCGTATATTGGATGAATGAGGACATAATCATATATTCCCTGCGTAAACTCGTCAGATAAGTGACCGGTACTCTGCTAATTCCCTTAATAATACAATCCCCGTAGCCTATGATTTCCACAAAGCCGCGTGTAGCCCATAACCAATGAACACCATCTCTAATAACCATGTAGTCCCATCGTAGTGTAAAGCAAGTGTGTGTAGCATGATAGCATCTCATTACATTACAATACAATCCTTTTCTTTGCCCCCTCCTGCTGAGGTGGTATTTCCAGTAGGGACAAGGGGTACGCCCTGGCGTCCCCTCCCTGGTGTGCTAGGTCCAGCGCTGTTTTGTCCACCAAATGTAGATCTCCCCCTAGGAGTTGCGCTCGCGCTACTTGGACTGCTCTCTGGATGACTCGGATGTCCTGCGGGTGGTACGTATGGGGTCGACTTGGAAGCTTGTTCATAACTTGGTGGTGCATCGTCCACATGGTCATCTCCGGGCCGATGGGTTGTCGAAGCCGGCGGGATTAAGGACCTAACTTGCTGTACCGGCCTTCCTCGACTGGCCACCGTGCTTGTGGATTGGTTAGCCGAACTAATCCTGGCTGGCGGCAATGGACCACTGCTGCCCCTACCAATAGAACCACGTTGATTGTGACCTCCGCGGGTTGGGGCACCTTGCCGGCCTTGCTGCTCGATAAATTGCTCAGACAGTTGGCTCTCACGACGGCGAGCAGCTTGTTCTGCGCGATGTCGTTCCTCTTCTTCTTCTTGCAACTGCAAAGCCAAAGCCAAATCTCGATCTTCCTGCTCATGTTTCGGCTGAATAGATGTGCTAGGATCTGGTTCGCTCGCCCGGCTATTCCGCGATCGCCGATTCTGGACTGTTTGCCATCCGTTCCCGTGAGAATTGCTACTTGAGCCTCCCTCTCTATTCCAACCACCTGGAACATTTCCGGATGATCTTTGGTGTTGAGGCCCTCCGACTATACGGAAATCGCCAGAAAAGAACTCAGTCCGTTCGCCCCGAACATCTACTAGTGACTCCCAAACGACCTCATCGTGTGTATAATAGCCTGCATCTGTTACCAAAGTAAATAATTTTTGCGTCTGGGGATGGCGGTATAGAGTAGAAAAGTGATCATTCCGAAATAGAATTGCCACCGTCCCAGGTCGAATAGCTTTGGTAATCACCTCAAGACCCCATGGAGTGAGTTGTGTTGCCGAAGTACTAAGAAAAGACTTTATTATGATGATGTCTTGATACAGTTGCTGCTCCTGCTCAGTCAAGCCCATCTCGGAATTGCTAAGCTTATCTTCGAGCTCTTCCTCTCGGAACAATATGCTCTGCACGTCATCGTATGAGGATGCTTGCCTGGTGAAGGAATCGTATACCGGGTCATCCCTCGGGGGTAACCAGCCGTGTATCAAGGGAATAGAAAACGTAGCATAGAGTCTCATGTCCCGCGTATTCTCAAAGGTCCCCGGGGTGAAACTTTCTTGAGTTGATTTTTGGATATGCATAGGGGAAGACTCAGAACTCGGTATAAACCGCGGATTGACGTTCATACCGGTGTGGAGACCCTTAAGAAATGCATAGAGTTCGGTCATATCTGGCAAGGACACCTCCGGGTTGGTATGTCGGTGGGTCATAAGCTCATCAACGACAGCTTCGAGGAGGAAATTCAAACTGATTTGTTCGCGAGACCTTAGAGTCTCGATAAGATTTGAATTCGCCTGACTAGCAGGTGTCGTCAAAGTAAGCGCATTGACGAGCGCAACCAGAGGACAAGGGCCATTAGCGTTTTGTACAAGTATAGGCGACCTCCGGGGATTCTTAGCCGCCGTAGCATCAAGCCAATTGATATTTTTAATCTGGTATGTTTCCGATTTACTTGTAGCGCCTGGTGACTGCCTTCTGGGTGGCTGTGGTGGTGGTTCTTCGTTCGACGCTCGCCGCGGTGGTAAAACCGGTGGCACCTCTGTAGGAGCTACCGCTGTAGGAGCTGCCGTCGTAGGAGCTTTTTCTTCCTTTGGTCTTTCGTCATCTGCATCCATGAAGTTTTCCCAAGTACTTTGCTTGGATAGAGTCCCCGGTCCCGGTTCCGGTATTGGCTCGTGGTCAATTAGGTTCCAGCCGTCGACGGTCTCTGAGTGTACATGTGACTCTTGCAAGTCTGATTGTTTACCCTTGTTGCTGGGCCCAAGATCGTCCCATGCATGTTGGTCGTCGAGCATTTCTTCTGCCTCTCGAGATCTCCCTGGTAGTGGTTGTAATGGAGGATTTGGAGACGCATCGCCCCATGGTTGAGAGTCCCCCCCAGTATGTAAAGGTAATAGGGCGGGGGGATTTGAGGCAGGTCCTGTAGAAGTCGCTCTTGACGGCAAACCCGAGTCCCAGACATTGCTCTTAGACTCCTGATCGGACAGGGGCGGTACTGGTTGTAAGGTATTAGGGGGGCTAGAATCACCAAGCGCCGGCTGCCAGGGATTTGTATTCGTTTCGGGCTCGGAAATATGTAGTTGAGATAATGCGCCCGTGGGCACAGAAGTAAGGGGAGGCGCCGAAGGAGGATTCACCGAAGGAGGATTCACCGAAGGAGGATTCACCGAAGGAGGATTCGCAGACGTTGCCGGTGATTCTTGGCCATCTTGATTATCTTGGATAGTCGGGTTGGCCTGCACTGGCTTCCGTTTGAAAGGATTCGTTTCGAATCGCGTACCTCCTGGCCAGAGAGCTTTTGGCATTTCATCTAGCTTACCTTTGGTCTCTGTTACAGGATCAGCGCCGTTATTCTTATCGCGATCATCCCAGGGATTTGCTTCGTCCTGACGATAGGTAGCGCCAGGTTGAAGGACGTGGGGTATATCTTGTGATGTATTATGGCTCCCCGAAGCCGCAGGGTTTGTGTCACTGTGTTGGGATATTACGGGATCCTCCCTCGCCCACGCTCTGGCTGATTCTGATTCGGAATCGCTAGGAGGCCACAGCTCCTGTCTTACACCTTGTATGCTAACCGCGGGTGGAGGTGTATTGGTGTTCGCCGAGGAACTGTCAGGAAGCGGCTTTCGTGCGACCATGGTGTTATTTCGGCCAAGTTAATACGGCCGAGTTGGTTATTTCCCAGACAATCTCGGATCAAAGTTGGTTGATAGACGGTTCGAGCAGGTAATCTCGCTAATATGGAATAGTTGACAATCATAAAGCTCGTGATTGCGTCATCACCGTGATGTTCGCATGGAATGGTTGTGGCACTGGAAAAAGAACTTGAAAAAGCACTCGGAGTAAGACTTGTATGAAAGAATAAAGTTTGATGGCTGCAAGTGTTTATATATCGGTTCTAGTGATTATATCTTAAGAGGTGGATTAAAAGCGAATAGCAGAATTGAGAGTTCGGTGCTCGGTACTTTAGCGGTTTAGGTACATACATATGAGGTAGGTTGGAAATGAATGGTTTGAGTTTGAGTTGAGTTAGAAAGCAAACGGGTAGCAAATGATGTAACGTCACTAGAGAAGAGCTAGTCCGTTAGTATCTACAAATAGTGGCGGTGGCGCGTAGCTAAGCTCGGTCGTCAGCTATTAAGCCACGAATATTACAACTCAGCCACACTTAGCACGGCGCTTTTTAAACCGTGACAAGGTTCTCCATGGCTTAATCTAATATCTACATACATACTAGGCTTGGGTAAACATTCATTAGATTTAACCTATTTTAGCCCTCGGTGACTTTTCTCCCCATTTGAACAATCACGACATTCAAGTTTTCGACTAGCTCCACTTTGGGAAGCTTCTATATCCTCTACCAACGCAAGCACACACGCTCCCCGCGTTCCATCAGAGTGAAGTGTGGGGTTCAGGGGCTTACTACAGATGTAGTGTATGTGTTATCTGATCCATTACATGCATGTAATCTACATACCTTACACTGCTAACCTTTGGTAGTAATATTTACTCCTCCAAAATCCTGTCTCCGATGTGTTCACGAGGCTAGCTTCAGAATTCCATACCTCCTTTAATAACAAATAATTCATTTCGAATACTCGAATCGCTCTTGATCGCAAAGCTTTTTGCCATGGCCATTGTTCAAGATTGGCTCCCAGCCAGCCAAGAAAACTACGAGAAAGTCCTATTTTGGTGGAAATTTTACCCTCTGGTATGTTTGTATCGTCCAGCCCTTCCATGTGATAGTACTAATTTTTTCACTTAGTTGGCGTCTTTCCAATGGATTACTTCGTGGTATGGCATGGGGAAAACCTCAGTTCAGAGCAAGTTCAATCTCCCCGGACGAATTGCCTGGGCGACGATGGAAATTCCCGGTTTTACCACTCTCTTATATATTATGAGCACGCTTCCAGCTCAGCACGGCATTGAGGACCTACCGTGGCAGAACAAAGTCCTTGCTGGCCTCTTCGTTATTCACTACACATACCGTGCCGTTATCTTCCCTATCATCCAGCCGTCCATGTCACCCATTCACGTGCTTGTTTGGGGTAATGCCATCATCTTCCAACTATGCAACGCCACCTGCATAGGCAGCTGGCTAGCAGCATACGGCCCAACCACCCAGGAAGAATGGAAAGCCCAGAACTGGTCTGTTCTACAATTCTCAATCGGTCTTGTCCTCTTCTACGTTGGACTCGCTGCAAACTATTTCTCCGACGAGGAATTACGAGAGATACGCCGAGGTGAGCTTCGACGCCAAGCAAAATTGAAGCAGCAGGGCAAAACTGTCGAAAAGCATTACGAAGTTCCACAGAATGGGCTGTTCAAGTATATGCTTTATCCCCACTACTTCATGGAATGGGTCGAGTGGCTCGGATACTGGATCGCCGCCGGCATCCCCTGCACCCCTGCGAGGTCCTTCTTAATTAACGAATTTTTTGCTATGCTACCCCGCGCTGTGTCTGGTGGGAAGTGGTATAAGGAAAAGTTCGGCGATGATAAAATTAAGGGGAAATACGTCATTATTCCCGGGATCTACTAATGGTGGCGCGCGTTATTCAACCCAAGGGCCTTCGGTTACTAGTTCCCAACTGTGTTGGTGATGAAGTTATGAAAAGGTGAATTTCCACGACTGGAGAATCTTTAATTATTAGCCTTATAGCCAGGCTATATTTGTCTGTTATTTTTCTCTGATGTCCTAGTAAATCAATTACCACCTTTTGATATATATAATTACGATGTCATGTATCCAACTATCCCATCTTATTTAACATGGAGTGACCAGGTAATGGGAAGAAGAGAGTTATGAACTTTGAAAGCCGGGACTTCTTTCACTCAGAATCTTCTCTAAGCATATAACTATACATATCATATAATGCCTTTGTAAGCGTTCAGGACAGTTTCAAGAATATCACGATATTTCAATATTTAAAAACCCTCTATCATTAACAAGATGTAGCCTCCGAATTGTTTCTTAGATTTATACCCATATCATTTATATTAGATACACTTCCTTGTATGCCTTTGTACTAACCTAATACATCACCTTGGACACTGATAACACAATGAGATTCTTTGTTGATAACTATGTCTTTATATAGGATAACCCTAAATATCATTGTTCGATTATGCCACTAGCTTAAGAACACAGCCGAGTTGTTGTTGAACAATAACAATGTGTGCGAGATCCAGGAAAACTATAAGTAAGAAGTATCGCGTCGTATGAATATTTTTATGAACATTAATTCTATAGCACCAACCTCCATACTGCACCAACCCCCTTTACTCATAGAATCGATCTATCCCAAAAACTAACAGTTGAATTGCCGCCATGTCTGTAACAATTCATATAGTTCGCCACGCCCAAGGCCCTCATAATGTTTCGCACGATGCTCTCATGATGCGCGACCCCTTTCTCACCGCAGAAGGGCTGCAGCAATGTGCACGTGTACAACAAACATTTCCTTTCACCATTGACGCTATCATTTCATCGCCGCAAAGACGAGCGATTCAAACTGCTTTAATTTGTTTTGGACAATTCGTTGCTGGTGGAATACAAGTTGATTTGCATGCGGATCTACAAGAGACTGGTAGCATTCCGTGCAATGTCGGAGTGGATGTTCCAACACTTGAAAAGGAGTTTGGAGGCACGATTAATACAGATAACCTTGACGATAATTGGCACCGAACAGGACTGTATTCAGATCCAACGCAGCTTAGAGCGCGCGCGATGCGAGTGAGAAGGGACATTCGAGAATATGCCGTGTCCATGCTCGAGGGCATAAAGAATCAACCTCGTAACCAAGACATGCACCTTGCTGTTGTTTCCCACTCAATATTTATACCATTTTTAACTGGCGACTTCTCCGGTGGAGTTAATTACTTCAGAAATGCGGAATGGAGATCGTATACGTTCAGGGATTTAAGAGGAACTGACGAAAATGCTGCGCTTGTAGAAACTGATCAAAGCCTCCTACGGCGCAGAGGTACGAGGCCGTCGGCGAGCCAGAATGCCGCAGGCCAGGCTAGCATATCAACCCACGTACGCAATGAGGGTAGGCAAGGACCAAACCTGTCAACACCGACTCCTAAAGTACTATAAGTAACTCGGATTTCTACATCCCGATTATAGTAGGCTTGACTTCCTTAGTTGACGTTTCTGATAATGATGGCGAACTTCAAACCCCAGCGGTTTCTTCCCTGCCCGAAGTCAAGTTTTTAGGTAAAACGAAAACAGAAAAAGAAAAAACTAAAAAAAGGAGCAACTCACGAGTAGGACTTGTTGCTATGTACTTAACGATGTTTGAATTTTTGAATTAGTTGTCTACCGAAATAGAATATACCTTACCACATAACTTCCCCCAAGGCCGTTGGATATTAATGTGACTAATGCCACTGAGTTTTGACGAGAAATAGGCGGGATTGACCATGCCTCGATAATTATCTCCTAGCTAAGGAACTATAGAAAATAAACATGTTTCATAAGCCTCTGAACTGCTAAGAATTGGTGCAGCTCTAAATCTCTCAGTAACTTACCTGAGATACCCAGTCCGATTTTCAGGGGCTGATCTCCACGTGAATCGTTAAAATTTCTACCTCTATCCCAACAAACATAATGACCATGGTGACTTTCAGTTTCCCGTAACTCATCATTCTATTTACATTGCAAGGATTGTTACGATTCTTTAGTAGAAGCGTGTTTAATAATACATTTTCCCTGATAATATAAGCACGTTTTATATGCTCATTCCACGTATCATTGTACATAGTGAGACCCCTGCTATATCAAATATTTAGACTAAGTTATATCTATATCAATTTCGTAGGTATCAATAGCGAATCTCAAATTAAAGTTGTTCTTAGTAACCGGGTGTTCAACGTTAAGTGACATGTGTGGGACTGGTTTTGATATAGGCTCGTCTAGACAGTCTTCAGTGTAATATGGATAAGTCGTAGAGGTTGAGTCTTGGCGAGAGGACGAATCATAGTGCACGATACCTTTGATATCGTTCAGCATTTCTTTTTCGGCACTGCAAGCCATATCAGAATATGCACGTAACCAAAAATTCCCGTTACCCTTGTCGACTTTGACAATGATATCGTATCGCTAATTACCCAATACCAACACTTAGGAGATCAGTCGTATAAGGCTTGATTGGGACTAAATCTACTGCAATAACTTTCATCCTATTATTTTCAATCATGAATTTGTAATGAGTGTCGATGGCACCATTGATAAGTCTAATTTGGTGACGTTTACCAGCGACGAATGTAGTTTCGAATCGTTGACCGCTGTCACTGTGGACGTTAGTCCTGTTTATGAGACTATTTTGTGCTACTGGCGGTGAGCCGGCTGAGGCAGTACCCCGTAAGGCGCCAGTTGTGTTATGGAACCAATCGTTGAGAAACAGAACACCTTTATCTTCATCATATAGCGCTGAGCATGGTCCGTTGATCAAAATTCCACCAAATACGCCATTCCAGGCCTGCGTAGCGAAGTGACTATGGTACCAAGTATACCCATACTGTTCGACTGCTACCGGACATTGCATTGTGGATGCTACACCGTCGTGTTGCATCGTATGATTTTGTCTTAAGCTGTGCTAAGGCTACATTGGTATTATTTCCCCAAAGCCCAAGGTATGACTGATATACCAATTCCCTACCATAGTCGGGTAAGAGACCTTAAACGTGCAATACTAGTACTATTGTTCTCAAGCGCGTTGTGTACATGTGTAACGACAGTACCCCCCAATCCTCGATACTTGTTAGTCTTGGCATAGATCCATCAACTATCAATACTATATGCTCAACCCTATCTATGGCAGCCGTGCCACTTTGAACTTGAAGCCGATGTTCTCTCGTGACCCCAGTATCTAAACTGAGGCTCAATTTACATTTAAGGTACACTCTAAGTTCATATACTAGGTAGCAATTTAACCACTGGAAGAATCGAACTTATAATCTAGAAATGGGATTCCATAGTAACCATAATGGTGACTACTCTGATTCTTACACCTCCGCTTAAATCTGAAAGGTTCCTGCAGCTAGCTAGTAAACCATTCTTGGGTATATGGTCGGTACGGCTTTTTCCAACACAACATTTGGATTGTTGATTAGGATACGAGTAAGAACACAAATTTTCAGGATTATAGATGAGACATCTAGAGTAATGATCACTGTTAGTATGTATAGCCATAGGTTCCCGTACCTAGCTTAGAGTTCCTCGCGGAACAACGAAGTTGTTTCCATGCTTCTTGCTCCACCTCGTGACACAAATTCTGCTTAATAACAAGGGACTATGAATCGATCTGAGATTGGAATGGAGATTTTTTTATCTTGATATATTAGTGGCTTAGGGATCTACAAGTGTTATAGTAGACTTAGGAATGTGTCCTGTTTCCATTAAGCTGGCTGAGATGCAGGTAATGTTAAAACCTTGCAACGTCTTAAACTAAAACTACATTTAAAATCTACTTTCAATATAACTAAATATTCTACTGCGTACTTATTGTCGTTGTCTTTGTAGTCCACCAGGTAGGTATACTTTAACTAATTGAAAATTGGCTCGTAATCCGGCTATAGAATATAGGGGTATGGTAGCGATAGTGAAGTAGCTTCTTGTCGTATACGCCGACTTCGCTATGAGCAGTTCCGCGAAAACCCATCTAGTTACCACAATTCTTAATGAAATGGTAAACTCGCTTTCAGGCAGTCTAAAAGTCTATTTTAGAATTTCTGCCCAACTTGATTAAGGCGTGGCTCTGCTATATCTGTGGTCTGGTGCAGGGGCATTACGATTACTACCCTCTTCTAATATAAATGTTGTATTGATCGGACCAATGGCAATGCTCTTTTCATCTAAAATCCGACATCGGCAACATGTAATTGGCTCTTTTCAAATCGGATTCACGTTAAACCGATCCACCGTAACGTTCTCTTGATCGTTGTGAGGCCCTTGTTATATTTCAATATTGAAAAAGTGCAAATGTCTCCACAATGGGGATGATATCCGGCTACGGGAATAGCTCTGGAGATGTTAACAAATGCATAAACGACTTTGATCGATGGCTACCGCCTTAAGATGAGCCAATCACCATTGTTGAGTGTGTCCCGCCCACTCGAGTACCCCACACCCACACCGTCTGCCGTCCATCGCGGCTCCAGAAACCTGGGAAGATGGCGTTGAGTGGGGATAGCTCTACATATGGTCGGTCTCTTACCGATCAGAGCCGGTCTCTAGTGTAAGCTGCAAGTGGACACATAGAAAGAATTACCAGGGTTGCAATTAAGAATTATTCAGAAAATAGTGGTACATTCACTTTGCCCCTGTCAAAGAAGTACAAGGGTCATCACTAATACACATTCTCAAAGTGTTAGGATGGAAGTGAATGCTATCCATATTACCAGGGTAATACCGTAGACCCGGCGCTTATAGTAGAATCCAGGACTCAATGCATACCTCTTTGTTGAACTATCAGATAGTATTCGTTTCCTTTGCTTGGATATTCAGGGGTCTAAGTGACTGTTTAAGGACGTGGGTGTCTTGTTCTCACCGCAATAATTGAGGTAGGATATGTGTTGTTACCAAGATCGGTACGATGATCGTCACGGTGCGCCTTTCGCGTCCGGCGTCGCCATGCGTCGGCATTATAAATCGCGGCCCATAAAAACTTCGGTCGACCCTTTCCGTGGCCGCAATTCCCGCCGGTGAAGTTTTTCTGTCTTTCTTTATATAGAATTCTTGTCCCTGTAGCTAAGCCTTTAGCCTCTACTACTTGCTCTTAGAGTCTTCCAGCATTGACAACTTCGCCAACGGAACCCCCCAGGCCATTCCGTCCCGGTCATGACAGATCCAAGCGCAATGAAGACCGGCCTCAGACCGCAATTAGACCATGTGGCTACGAATGCCTCTTCGCCGAGTCATATGAGCATTCGTAGACTTGACAGTGGTCTAAATCATTTCGCAGAACTCGTTCAGAGTATCAGTAATCAAGATATAGAAGCCAGGTATAAAGTAGAAGAGGGAGACAACAGAGTGCCAACGGACGATACGCCAGACCCGAGCCAGTTCCAAGGCTCTGAAGGAAGAACAGTCATATCATGGGAGGTCAACGACAAAGAAAACCCTTACAATTGGTCTCTAGTCAGCATATTCCCCCTTGAGTTGTGCTCTATTTTGGCGACGCTAACTCCATTCATAGGGGCGGAAGACCTTCATTGTTACATCGTCAATGGCCACTGTTGCCAATAGCACCTTGGGTAGTTCTCTACCAAGTATGGCTATCCCTTATATGACAAAAGAATGGGGAGTTACTACTCAAGCACAATTTGTCCTTCCAATATCCACATACCTCCTGGGTTATGTATTTGGGCCGATTTTCTGTAAGTCAATCTTGATTCTCCTCGGTGTTAGTTTATGAGGTACCTTAGGTACCTATTTCTTGAAGTGTCACTAGCACACGAGAGGATTCTGTTAGCTAACTTCGCGTTCTCAGGGGGGCCTCTAAGCGAACATCTTGGACGCCGAAATATCTCTACAGGATGCTTCATAATGTACGTAATCTGGACTCTCGCCTGTGCCCTCGCTCCGAACTGGCCAGCGATGCTTGTATTTCGATTTTTCGTAGGAGCATGTGCCAGCGCGCCGATCGCAGTAGTCAGTGGAATTCTGGCGGACTTGTTTAATGATCCAGTCACACGTGGTCGAGCTATGGCATGCTTCATGGCCGTAAGTGTCTAATCTGAATATGTACCTGTGCTGGTCTAGAGCTGATTCCTATTTGAAGATGACTGCCTTAGGACCCCTATTAGCTCCGATCATATCCGGTTTCTGCTCGACAAGTATTGGTTGGCGATGGACCTTCTGGATCGGCCTCATTATTGCGGGAGTAACGTTAATAATGGCATTCTTCCTCCCCGAGACTTATGCACCGGTTCTCCTCAGCCAAAGGGCAGCAAAAATTCGAAAGGCAGACCCTAAAGCCCAGGTTTACTCTGCTTCGGAGCTTGAGCCACATGACTTTAAACTGTTGTTTACCAGAGTCCTAACACGGCCCATCCGTATGATTTTAACCGAACTTATTGTGACAGCGACGTGTCTCTATCTTTCACTAGTATACACAATTTTTTACATGTCATTTCAAGCGTTCCCAATTATATTCCAGAATGTCTATGGTCTATCTCCGGGAGTCACTGGCTTATGTTACCTGCCCGTTGGTGTCGGTGCACTTCTTGCCGTTCCTATATTCTTCGGGTATGACCATATAGTTCTTAACGCCAAAGCCCGTGGTACTCCATGGTCAAAGATAGAGGAGTATCGTCGGGTCCCACTGGCATGCCTGGGAGGACCCTTATTTGCTATGTCCTTATTCTGGCTTGGATGGTCATCACGACCAAACGTGTCGTTTGTTGTGCCAATGCTAGCCGGCATTCCTTTTGGCGGAGGTTATAGTATGTGCATTCCAAATTCTTATAATCGTGCCACTTCCAATATTTTATCCTCATGGTCTACGGCCAGGCTCATGGTTTCGATATATGGACATTGCTAATTTTAATCATCATAGTGTTAATATTCATGTCACTGCTGAACTACCTCACAGATGCTTATGAGATATTTGCAGCGAGCGCCAATGCGGCTGCTAGCTCTTGCCGCTCTGTATTCGCAGTTATTCTTCCACTCGCGACAACACCTATGTTCGCGCGGTTAGGAGTTAGTGGGGCCTGTAGTTTACTCGGGGGGTTGAGTCTACTCATGTCTATTATACCTTTTATCTTTATCTGGAAGGGTGAGGATATTCGAGCAAGATCCAAATTCTGTATCGCACTAAAAGAACGAAAGCTTGAGATGGAGCGGAAGAATAAGGAGGAGAGGGAGAAGAAGGCCAGGGTTGTTGGTAATAACGGTGTTGCAGATGAGAAGGAGATTGAAGTCTAAGCATAGGTACCTATACAGCTAATACTAGGTATAGTATGTTAATAGTAATATGTCGCACAATATATATAAGGCGTAATTGCTGTACAGCGATTACGGCGTCGTTTTTCGTGTTTGACATAATAATATAGCCATCGATTTGTATGAGAAGGAAATCCTGAGCGATAGAATTCCAAACTAGAAAGGTTGAATTATACCACTCCTAACAGGTATCTATTTTAGGTAATTAAGTCCATCTTCAAGCCTACTTTTACGGATTATCTCGTTTATTAATCATCAAGGGATTTCTCAATACTATCAATATCCCCCTTTTTAACTCGCCCGTTCCTTTCTAACCCCTAGTCGTAATGTAAGCAGTGCTTTCAACTAAGAATCGACAGCGAGTCCGTCTGATTCTGGGGGTCCCTGATACACTATAGCGAGCACACCGCATTAGTATTATGATTGTAGAAAGGGTGTCTGAAAGCATAATGGAAATGCTTACCTTTCCGAGCATATATGCCATACCATATTGCGCTAAGAACCATAAATCCAACGAAGACTACGATTGCGTAGTTCATATTAACCTCGGTTACCGGCAACACGGTAGGCATGGAAAACAATACTACTTCGAAAACAATCCAAACTATCGCGAGCCAATTAACAACCAATCCTAAGTATTTCCCCATAGTCCACTTAGCGCTATTAACTTCCTTGCGATTATGAAATAGTGATATAGCGATAGGTATCCCGTAAGATACGGCAAGAGATATAACGCCAACTGACACAAAGGCAAGAAATGCCGATGAAGATCCTAGGTTGATTAGTCCAAGGAGCATCTCAATGAGCGTAGTAAGGACAAGTGCCCAGATCGGCGTGCCGTGACGTTCGTCTATTTTCGACCAGAGGCGAGCAAGTGGAATGGCATTGTCCCGCGCGAAGGCCCATGTACATCTCGATGCCGCACAAGTAATGGAGATCGAGCAAAATAAGGTGATTATAAGGACGAGCAAAGTAAGAGCGAGACCACCTCCAGGTGATCCCATAACTCTTCCGAAAATATACGGTAATGCTTGGCCTACTGGTGCCGTGACTATATCCGCTAAGTCTGGCAATGTTGCGCATAGAGGAATTATCTGGACACATAGACGTATTTAGTAAAAGTTTTATATCTACCTAGCTTTAATGTTTTTAAGAGTCTTTTCATTCGCGTAACATTCAAAGACTATTGAATCGAGAAGGTGAGTACTTACAAAGAATAACCCAGCAATGCCGCCAACCGGTATGCAAAGAGATATTGCGTTTGGTAGTTTAACCGTGGGATCACCACACTCCTCTGCCATTGACGAGATCATCCCAATAGCTGAAAACCTGTCTTACCATGAGCTCGCAATGTTCGCAAAGGTCAGAGGGGAAAGATATCGTAACTCGAGAAAGGAGACTAAACAAACTCACGTATAGGCTGCAGGTAAGATGCCGATCCAAAATGAAAAGCCATCCCAGCCAGAGAGCGACGTATCGTAATTTCCCTAGAAATGAAATTCTCAGTATATCTTTCTCCACAACACTGAGCAAATATTTCTTACCAAGGTGTAGCTAGGAGAATGTCTGCCAACATCTGCCTTCACGGATAGGCAGATGCAAGTAACCACGATGCTAATGGCTGTAAATATAGCACATATCGTGTCGACTAATGGGAGAATTCCATTGCCAAAGGCAACTATAAAGAAAGTAAGAATGCACACGGCATAGAAGATAAGCAAGAGTTGCCAAGCCTCTATAGTGAAGTCTGGCTTGAACAATGACACTGCCGCAGCCAGCATGGACGCGAACCCAAAGTTGACCGACAGAGTGATGGTCCAATTTCCGATAAGCCACGTCCAGCCGGTGATGAAGGAGAGAACTGTCCGATATCTCGGGCTAGCGAGCTGGAAGCTCCAATAGTAAGGGCCCGCTGAAGTCGGATATCGAGAGGCCAGCTCGCCTAGTGAAAGGGCGATGCATTCGCCGAGTATTAAAACCACAATCCATCCGAGAAACATTGGCAGTTGGCCTGATATCTAAGGGTTAATATAAGGAAGGACAGACATGCAGCGCGATGATTGGCCACTCACCACCCCCATAGATAGCGCTAATAAGAGGACCACCGAAGCCATATGGTATCTGGATACATTCAGATATCTAGCCAATTATTCCATTGGTTCAGACTTACGGCAGCGATCGCTAAGGATTGGAATAATAAAGTAAACATGGATCGGTTGCGTCGTAGTTCTGGCTTGTAACCAAGCATCGTGAGGTTCTGCACATCATGGATTGTTCCGAGTTGCGTATGTCCCTGTTCGAAATCCACAACGGCGGACAAGCCAACCTGTGGGATCTTTTCCTTGATAGAACTCATTATGGTATACGATCAAATCCACCTATTAAGTCTGCTTGACTTGGACAATAAGTATGACGATATTATTTATAGAAGGACGCTATGAGAATATGAAGTTGAGAAATATAAAATCTTAACCATCAGGTTGCTATCATGAAATATAGGTAGGTACCTATATAAGCTGCTCATTTCAGCTTATCTAGGCGCATCGCTTTAAGCCATTCGCGGAGGTTCGGAATCAGGTAGGTATAGATAAGCATCTTTCATAACATGAACATTATGCACCCCGGAGTATAGTGTTCTTCAGTTATTTCTGATGAAGATCGCCAGTTTGTCTTAGGTATTTCTTTATGTCTTGGCATCGCCCGCCCTTATCATTGCTATAGTAGCTTTCTGGTTCGGCCTCTAGCCTCTAGTAGCCTATAGTAACAGTTCGATAGATAACGCCCGTACATGGTTGTCGATTGCATTGATAAGGATGTAGGACCGTAGTAGGTAGCCTGGAGTATGTAATACATATGACATTCCCCTCACATCACCAAGGCGCGACGTATTTGAATCCGATAAATATCTGATAAAGCTACCACTCAAGTACAGGGTGAAGTGGATTGATGCTTAGAATCCTAGCGGCACGCTCACAAGGCGGGTTAAGACTGTGGCGCTTAATATGTCCAAGACAATACCGAGGATTTAAAACATTAAAAGGAATAATGTTTTGAACAACTTGTTAAAATGTTAGTAATTACAGGGAAATTAGAGATTTCGGGTTACCTGATAGGGCTTAACACATGAACCTAACCGTTACGGAGAAAATATCGTTTCATGACCACTACCTACCTTCCATTTACCGATGATGTCCTACGGATAAGAAAGATTTCTTAGACTGGTGGAAAGCAGCGAGTTCGATGAGTCAGTTAATAGCTTGACCTGACTTGGACCTGACTTGATCTGGTTTAGGTAGATATATTTTATGGGAGATCTATCCGATTCAGGTCGAAATTATTTTTATTTGTAGCAAACAGGTAAAAAATGAGGGTATATATATACCTTTGAGTAGTGGATTTGGAGTAAGAAATTTATGTGGCTGACGTGGCTAACGTGGCTAGACATGTGGCTAGGTATGGCTTTATAAGGGCTCCCAGGTCAGTTCCAAGATCCGGCCAGGTAAGCCTCATTTTTTTCAATATATTTGACCTGACTCATCGAACTCGCTACATAGGTTGCTACCTACTCGGACGTCGAGGGTAGCCTTTTCTACTTTTTTTAGGGGAGGACAGTGTGGAATGGGCAACATTTGTAGAGAAAACTACCTAGTTTCTTTACAAAAATATGCTCCAGATAATACTAACAATGTACTAAGAGAGGCTGTGCCTTGGTAGCACGGATCCCGCCACAGCGTGGATGGGCATGTGGCGGCATGGAATGTACCTAAAATAGGTAAGAAACAGATTCGATCCCTCCATAACCCTCCGATGTACGGCTCTAGGAGGCATGGTTTTGCCCTAATAAGGGACCGTCCCCACGATAAACCCAACCAACTAACCAACTAACCTACTGTATAAATATCTACTAGTTACCTACCTACCTATATTCTAATATCTGTTAGGCTCTACTTCTGAGTCTTCAAGAGTAGTGGAAAGTAGACAGGGTCCCTTCGGCTCTTTAGAGCGTCTAAGAAAGCAATAACAAATCTTGAGATCCCCAGAGGCTTCGCCCGATATATCCACTCCGTTAATGACAATTCCTCAATAGCGTCGCCCTCTTGGTCCTCGAAGTGCTGCCTTAGCTTCTGCCAGGCGATCCTCTGCCCGCTGGGATGATGAATAAACCTCACCCACTTCCCTTCGTCCGAAAGTTGTGGTGCGACCATGACATGGAGAAAAATGCTATCGGCAATGTCCCCTACTGGCGCGTAGTCGACAAAACCCTCAACCTTCTCTAGGGTCGGAATGGCCTTCAGCGTTTTGCTATACTTCAAAAGCGTGTTTGCTATTTCCGTCGGCGGTGCCCCTTCACCGACTACTGAGCATGACCGATGAACCCGTACTGGGAGCCCAAACTGCTCTGCTACGGCCTCAAGATATCGCTCGCACGCCCACTTCGCCGCCGTCAAGCCATCTGATCCATCCACTGGGGGGTAAAAGCGCGAGACCGAGATTTCACCAGCGGTTGTCTGGCCAGTAAACAGAATGACGCGATTGGTGGACACGAAATGAATGGGAATCCTGCGTGGCAGCGCTAGACGGGCGAGGTATTTCGTCGCTCCCAGTGTTTGCGGGCGGAGCGATTCGTAGGAATTCAGGAAGGACCCTTCGCCGCCAGCATGAATAATAACATCGACTTCCCGTGATAATGCCTCGGCTTCGGCTTCGAGCAGGCCCAGAGTCGGCATGGCGAGGTTGCCTACGTACGTCCGGACTTTGGCGTACTCGGGTAAATCTGCTGTTGGCTTGAACGCGTCTATCTTGGGTACGCCGATACAGTGCACTACGGAGATGGAGCTGTCCCGTACCAATCTGCGCAGGATGGCACCCCCCAGAAATCCAGTCGATCCTGTCAATAGCATCACTTTACCCTTGGACTGTGGTTGTGGCGCCACGACTTGTTCTAACGGTTCTGGCAGCTTCGCGGATATATCAGTCTCACTATCCCAGTCTACGAGAATTTTCGCTGGGTTGAGGGCAGAATCGGAGTAATCGACTTTTTCCTAATGAGAAACACTGGGTGTTAGAGACATATCATAGTTATCTCGAGAAAAATGAGCTCAATTTGCCATACCTGGTCAGCCACGTTGAACTCGGTTGAAAGGGGCGAGCCCTTCTCTTCATCATCCGCCCGGGCTTTCTCTTGCGTACACTGCGTAGCGATTCTCGATGCCATGCTGCTGAGTGTATTCGCTAGAAACATGTCCACCAGAGGAATTTCAACACCGAAGCTTTCCCGAACAAGTACTTGAAGTTTCATGAGAAGTATTGAACTACCCCCGACGTGAAAAAAGCCTGTGTCCCTTCCAACGTGCGACGCATCAATCACGTCCGGGAGTGATTCCATCCATAAATTTTTGAGCCGCAACTCTGTCGTTGAAAGGGGAACTTGCTGTTCTGATTCGCTAGGCGCCGGGAGTGGGATCGAATCAAGGGCTTTCCTATTCCTCTTTCCGTTGATAGTAGTGGGAAGATGGTGTAGTGGAATCATCATGGCCGGAGTCATGTATAGTGGCAGAGGCAGTTTCGAGGATAGTTGCTTCAGGTATCCTATGGTATCGCTAGGCGAGGAATCAAGCGCGAAGACAACAAAGGCGATGAGGAAGGGAGGATCACCCCTGACAGTGACCGCTGCATCAACTAAGACCCCTTGCGCTGTACGAAGAATGGTGTTTGCTACATCGTCGAGATCAATACGGAAGCCCCTAAACTTGATCTGCGAGTCAGAAGCTGAGCGGCCGAGGAATATAATGGATCCGTCAGCAAGAAGACGACCTCTATCCCCACTTCGGTACATCCGGACCCAGCCATTTGTTTTGTCTTCGGTGAAAGCGAATGGATTGGAGACGAACTTCTCTCCAGTAAGTTTATCGTCATTAATGTATCCAAGAGTCACGGTGGCTCCTGCGATGCAGATTTCCCCTGGAAACCCAACGGGAACGGGTCTCAGGTAATCGTCAACAATAAAGACAGACACATTCGGTAATGGCCGCCCTATCGAAGGGTACTCTTCGACTGAGTTAGACTCGCTGTCGTTGTAAGGCACATCCGTGCTCGAGAAAAAACAAGCTTCCGTTGGCCCAAACCAATTGGTAAGGGTGACGCCTGGTAGACCTAACCGGCGGAAGTCGTGCTTGAGCTGAGACGTCATGTTCTCTCCTGCAGAACAGGCAAGTCTCCAGCGAGAGCATTTCTTCAGATAGCGGCTCCCATAGCACAGTAAGGCAGAATACTCAGAGGGAGTGGCCAATGTGAGGGTGATGTTTTCGGAAGCCATTAATTTCGATATTTCAGTTGAATGTCCTTTGATCGACTGAGGCACGACGACCAGTGTTCCGCCCTTCGCGAGGGCAATGAATATCTGGTACAGTGAGACATCGAATCCCAGGGAGCTCTGTTGTAGCACTATCTCCTTTGGGTGGACCTCATTATTTTCCATGAGCCCGTACGTGCTATTCATGATATTGGCCTGTGATAGCAGTACTCCCTTGGGTATACCAGTGGAGCCACTAGTATAGATTGCGACGGCAGGGATGTCCGCTCGAGAGCAAGCTGTCGTCGACAAACAGTCACCTCTGCCTAGGGAGGACAAGTTGAGTGCTTTCGTTTGGTGCCCGCTCAGTGATAGCGCTATCTTCAGCGTATTTGCCTGACAAAGGATCAAAGGCGGACGAAAGTCTTCGATCATGAAGGCTAGACGGGCTGGCGGATTTTGAACATCAAGTGGCACGTATATAGCACCTAGTCGCAGTATTGCTAGTATTGCGGCCATGGTGTCGCTCGAGGGCTCGAGGAGAACCGCTACATAGGTGCCAACGGCCACCCCCGCGGCCGAGAGATTAGTGGCGATAGCATTGCTCCGATTGGCAAGCTGAGCATATGTATAGACATTTCCATAGCCGTCTTTGACGGCGATATCACTAGGACTGCTTTGTGCTATAACTTCCACGCAGCGAGTGATGGTTTCTGGGAATTCAAATCGCTTCTGTCGGCTCCTACCCACGTGTACTTCCAATAGTGCATCTGAGAGGCTGAAAGGACTGGAGTCATCCAAGCGCTGTTGTGGGTTGTGGCAGATTTGATCCAGTAGATGGATGTAACTCCGGACTAGCAAGTTGCAAGCATCGCTCGTGTACAAATCGTCCCGCACTGTAAGGGATAGGAAACAGCTGTCCTGCGTAGGCTCTGTAATCGTAAAATGGAGGTCATAGGGATATCTGACTTCGTTTACTGCTCGATGTCGCAGCTCACAATCACCGAGGGATGTCTGTCGAAGCGCCCCCATGCGATAATTTACCAAGACTTGGAATAGAGGAGTGTGAGTTAGCGACCTCGCTATGTTCAGATCTTCTAACAAGACGTCGAATGGTAGTCTGGAATGGGCCAGCGCCGCGTATACCTTGCGAGCGATGGTCTGCGCGGTTGCTTCGAAGGTTTGCGCCAAATGTCCGCGGTAGAGGCGCAGAGGAAGGAGGTTCAAGAAGAGACCAAGTGCATCGAGAAACTTCCCGTCCGTCCTGTTCGCGTCGAGTATGCCAATACAGAGGTCATCCGCGTCTATAAAGCTAAAGAGTAATGTTTGTATCGCGACGAGATGTAAGTGAAAAGGGGTTATATGAAGCTGCCTACTCAGCTGCTTAACTTTCACTGTAAGGTGCTCGGGGATCCGCGAATTAGCTGTGTGCACGCCATAGGTTTCGGAGGCACAACGTGAACGGACGCGAGAGAAGGGTAAGAGAGGCAAAGGGCTGGGTAAGGTAGAGAACTCGTCCCTCCAAAACGCTAGGTCATCCGTCAGCATTCCCCTCTCGATCTGAAGCCTCTGATCTGTGGCAAAGTCCACGTATTGGACGGTTCGCGGTATCAAGGGTAGCATTCGATAAGCTGTGTCTAAGTCCTGAAGGAACAAGGAAAAGCTCAATCCGTCCATAAGGATATGATGATAGCCGAATACGATCATGCTCCAAGATGGCGTCTGAGATAGAAGCGTAGCACGGAACGTTTTCCCCTTTTCTAAGTCGAACACGGAGTTTCCCATGCGATCAAATTCCTCTTGTGCATCGGCATCGCTGGATATCTGCCTGTGTTCTAGAACTACTGGGGACTCTCTAAGGATGCCTTGCATGCCGCTCCCTGTTTCAGTCTGCGTGAAAAAGCACGTTCGAAATGGTTGGTGGTGGGACACAGTGGTCTGGAAGGCTTTCTTGAACCGCGGTATGTCCAAGGGGCCTTTGATATCGTAGAGAAGAACTACATTGTATCTCGTAGGGTCTCCACTATAGGTTCTCATGAACCAGAACCTGGATTGGGCGAAGGACATGTGCTCTGTCCTCTCAAAATTTGAATATGCTTCTGGTGGAGAAAGGTCAGAGTGCAGCGGAGCCGGCGACGGCGATAGTGGGCAAGCAGCATCTCCTGGGGAATCTGGTACCGTCGAGACCCGAGGCCTAGCGTAGAGTTGGGCGGAGACGGCGTAGTCGTCGTCCCCCTGAACTAAATCTTGAGTGCTACACTGCACGGGGAGTGAAACTGGACGTAGATGCGTTGCCTCTGCGATTTCATTCTGGAGGTTCCCATCTCGCTTCATTCCGAGTACCATGTCTTCGCCGCCTTCGCCACCAGGACGACCTTTCGCATCCTCTGCGTTTTCATTTGACTATATCCCTATTAGCTAAACGTTGTACTCTAAGACCCAAGATAGGGGTGCAAAATAAACGGTAGGGTTACATAATCTCTGGATTGCGATCGGCTCGTCAAGGACGCCGAGTGAAGAGACAGGTCAGTCGTCGAGTTGTCTTGGGAAGCGGTATGATCCGTAACATGGTTGTCATCGATGGAACTCATAGGGCTGACATCTTCTTTTTGAAGGCTTAGCTTTTCGTATCGAATCACCGCTGTTCGGGATTTGAACTTACTGGCGTTTCCCAGGTCAGGAGTAGGGAGTCTTGCAACAACAAAACGACATAGTTCGATAATGGTGTCGCCACTGAGTAGTTTCAGGACTGGTACGTCAACTTTGACCTCCATGATAAACCACGATCTGATCTCAATGGCGATTAGTGAGTCAACTCCCAGATGAACCAGGGGGGCGTGTTCGTCAATGTTGTCGGTGCTCAGCTGTAAGATCCTAGCTAGCCTTGAGGAAAACCCTTCTTGAAGTATTCTGGCAGCATCAGCTGAATTTGCAGCGTTGGCAAGCTGTTTGCCCATGTGCACGACATTAGCTCCGCCCTGCTGCTCTGACATGTCATCCTCGAAGAGGATGAAATGTGAGAACCTTGGATTGTAATACCACGTCGGTCTGTTATCTGCACTAATGGAACCCGGAACGCTTTCTAGACCTGTGATGATTTCTGGCTGATGCCCAGAGTTGGGGCGTCCCGCTTGGATAGCCTCGAGAAACATGGTGTGAAACTCTGGTTCGGTAATCGGCAAGCAGTGATTCATTCTACGTAGGTACTCCTCCAGAGCCGGGCCAGCACGAGAAACATAGCCGATCTCTGTAAGCATGCCAATGTCGATTACCGATGCTGCAAAACCTCGGCGTCTTCTCTGGGTAGCAAGACCCGCCATAAACATATTGGCGGCGGCATAGTTGGACTGACCGCGGTACCCGGCAGCAGCAGAGACGGATGAGAGCAAGATGAAAAAATCGAGGGTTTTATCCCAAAAGAGTTCATCAAGGTTTATCGTTCCATCGACTTTTGGTCTTAAAACGTTGGTTAGCGAGCTGAAGGTCATGTCAGCAAATATCGAATCAGAAAGAACCATTGCTCCATTAACCACTCCAGCAATAGGGGGCATCTGGCTGGAGATTTCGGAGCAGACGGATAACAACGCTTGCTTGCTCGAGACATCCATTTGAAATACTTTGATATTAGCACCCATGCTCTGCATCTCTTCGAGCCATTCTCGGCCTATGTTAGCATGCCGGCTTGTCAATACCATGTTCCGAGCGCCATTAAGAATCATCCAGCGGCAAAGGGATTGTCCAAGATCCCCCGTCAAGCCGACTAACAGATAGGTTTTATCGTGAGATAAGTAATATCTCGGCTCCAGTGGGTTGATGGTTACCGAATAAGTCCCTTCCTGAGTCCAGTCGACGACACAGAATGAAGAATTCTCTGCGGCAACGGTTGACAAATCCCCGGCTAAGATCTTATCTGTCAGTTCTGACTTTCGCTCTGCGTTATGTCCCACTTCTGAGCACGAGATGGCCATTTCAAGGCTCTGCTGTAGAACTGATGCAGAAATTGTCATCTGCGCCGTTGCTTCTCCTCCGATGAACTCCATCGCTTCTTGCGCGATGCAAAAGCTGGGTAAACAGGCGACAATGGGAGTAACGCCACCCTGCCTCCTCGACCAATCAACAAACTTCATGATGTTTCCCGGTAGAAGTTTCTTGATTTCGCGGTGCGTTGCGAGTGGGTGAATATAAGTCCACAGGTCATTACAAGAGGTTGTCGGGTGCGAAGTGGTGCACACAACTTTGATACCTGCTTGGAGTGCTCTCTGAGCTACAATATCAGCTACAAATTCCCGAGGCTGATGCAGTAGAAGTATTGAATCTCTAGGCACCGAAGAAATGAGATTCTGTGCTACGAGCCCAGCCGCGATCGTTCGAAGGTGGTCGTATTCCTCATCCTCGGGAACTCCGCATGGACACATCCAGTCCGCATGAGTTTCAATGATGGACGAATTCGATTTTGAAAATGCAATTACTCTCTGCCTTGTGTTAATGACTGAACCAAGGCAAAGGTACAGACGGGCATTCGCTACGACTTTGATAGCACATAGTAACGAATACCTAACGCGAACAGTCACATAACCCGCGGGTTGCGAACTGAAAGTATCAACCGGGTTCCCCTGTCGTAAGCAGTGAAAGCCCCCGTTGCGAGAAATATGCACTGCAGATGTCATTGCCGACACCTCTTTGATAATGGGCCTTCGTAATGAGTTTAATCTCTCGTTCAGCTCCTTGTCCGGAAGTATACGAGGAATCATCAGCGCCCCTTCTTCTAAGGCTAGTTCAGGCTCCGTAGACCATAAGACATCCTGGTCTAATAAATCCTTCATCACCAGTCGTAGAAAAATTGTAGTCAATTCTGTGGCGGTGACCGCTGGGGTCTGCTCGCCGTTGATATCTAGCATTTGTAGGTCCATGTGAGGCATCTCGTTCAGCAGGACCCGTGCCACGCCGATCATCATGTTGGAGTGGGCATTTCGTCTTCCACAATTCTGGGTAACCCAAAGGATCCGTTTTGTTTGGTTGAACAGCTTCTGCATTCCTAGAAAGGTTGTGCTTGTCATGGACTCAAACACCGGCTTATCAAGCTCGGTCAGACAGAGTACGTTAGCCGTCAGTGAAATCTCGACCGCACCGAGCGACTCGAGATCACCTATCACCAGAGTACGGCTCTTCCACATTGGCAAAATTTCACAAAAGCCGCGAATCAGCCCGGATACTTGCGTAGTTTTTCCACCGATAATCAGAAGTTGGTCACTTTGCGGAAACAGCTCAGGGGAAAGCAACGGCTGCCGTATCATATTAACGTTTTGATTGATCGCTTGACTGAGTATAACAGAGTACATGTGCTTGGCGGGATTGTCGGTATCATGTAAGAGAATATCGGTTCCCGAGAATCCAGTTTCCCGTAGGAGAGAATCCCATTCTAGGGCTGGGATGCCGGGGAAGAGTCGGCGGCCATCATCGCCTCCGAGCCACCAGCCCGGCAAGCCACCCATGACATAAGCGGTGCGCAGAGAGCGACCCGTGGGCTCTAAGAGGAGAAGATATCCGCCAGGCTTGAGAAGGCCTCTCACATTTTCCACGGTGCGCCTTAGCGCGTGCGTGGCATGAAGAACGCCAGACGCAACCACAATATCGAACGAATGGGCCGTGAAGCCTTGACATAAAGGATCGTTTTCAACGTTGAACGTCCTGAACACCATTCTCCTGGAATATTTTGAGAACCGCTCTCTGGCCTTCTCGAAAAATCCGCTGGAGATATCGGTGTACACATAAGAAGAAAAAGCGCCATCTATACTGTCAAGGATTCGAGACGTTGTTGCCCCAGTTCCGGCTCCAATTTCGAGTACTCTTAGCTGCGGATACCGGTGAGTTATCTGTTTGGCCATGCGAGCTAAGTTGCCGTACGAACGAGGCAAGCCAAGTGCGTTGTCGTAGAGGCGGGTGAGCAATCCATCTTTCGTCAAGACTTCCAGCATTGTTATCTCTCCTTTCAAAACTGCGGGAAAACTCTCTGCCACGGCATTTGCGGCTTGCAAGTCCACGGTCTCGGGGAATTGCTCGATCATCCGAAGTAATTCGTCACGGGTATCACTCTCCCAATCTTTCCTAATGATAGGATGCTCACCGAGAGAGATCATGGACAGGACAGAATCAATGTACTCAAAGAGTCGACGGTGATACCATTCAAAGTGTGCGATCTCCTCTCTCGGGGTTCTCTCCGATAATTCCTTCAGGTAGACGTGCGATAAACGTTCAAGAAGCTCCGGTAGCTCGGAATCCTCTAATGAAGGTACTTCTTTGCTCTCATCTTTGGATGCAATACCGCAGGAGATATCAGCTTCCCAGATGGTTTGAGAAAATAGAAGTCTATCGTTCCCCGGATTTGCATCCCGGATCATCTCCATAGACAAACCCTCGACTTGGACTTCCAATTGGCACTCTTTACTGGAGATATCAATGTCTGCACAGACTGAAGGTGGAGAATCTCGAGAGGCTGGGCCGATGCTTGTAATATGAGTGTCGATAGTTGCATTGACGTGCTCATACAACGGAGCATACGCGGGAGCGGCGCTGACGCGCATTCTCCGCACGCTTACGGGGAAAAAGGGGCTCCGGGCGGCAGTAACCGAACCTGCGCTTGCAAACACCGACTGAAATGCTGCATCTATCATGGCGGGATGCACGATAAAGGTCGGGTTCATATCGGCTTGGCACCAGGATGCCGACGTAGTAGCCGTATTCGTTGTCCGCTGTATGGCCGTCAAGCCTCGAAATAATCCGCTGTACTCATAGCCGAGCTCAGAAAGGGAGCGGTAAAACCGGTCAACATCGATCGATAGCATAGACCGACTAACAAGCCGCCTTTGCGGTAATGTCTGGACAGATGGTTCTCCAAAAAACAAACTTATAGTACCACTACAGTTCAGCTCTGGGTCGGTCTTCGCGGTCTCAGGGCACGAAGAGCACACGAACTCGGCTTTGAGTGTGTCACCCTTTTCTTCTTGGAGTCGAAGGGTAAAGATTGTTTCGATACCCGTCGAGTCTTTGGTTAGCATCATAGCTTGTGCTATGTTGACATCATGTAGCTCAATTAGTTTGATGGAGCGGTTTTGAAAAAGGGACTTTGAAGCTTCCAAAGCCATAGCAAGATACGCTGCACCAGGGAACACAACCTGGCCCTGGATTGTATGGCCCTGAAGCCATGGTATTTCGCCTAAATGGATGATATTCCGCCAACGCATCTCACGGTAATAGTCATCTGGGCGCCGTCGACCAAGCAGCTCATGTTGCTGATCACTGCGGAAGCGAGTATTTCTAGAAAGGCGTGACTCCTTCCAGTATACGTGTTCATGGTCCCATGGGTAGGAGGGCAGGTTCTTTAGAAGAGCGGGCCGCGGCGCGCCGTGCGAACGTTTGAAAGCGTTCCTATACCCATCGAAGTCAATCGCTGCTAACCTCCCGAAGTTCGTCCAGATATATCCAAGAGCTCCAGAAACGGCCTCGACGTCATTCTCTTCACGCCTCAATAGGCCACAATAAGGAATAGTAGTGCCCAAGATAGATTTGATTGTCTGGGTAACCGGACCATTCAACACAGGGTGAGGTCCAACTTCAAGAGCAATATCGAAAGGGACCATGTCATGCATTGTGAGCTCAATAGCCTTAGAAAAAAGAACTGGTCTGACCAGGTTGTCCGTCCAATACACATCCTGTAGAGACTCCAGATTGCGGATGCAATCTCCAGTGACGGTGGAAATCCAAACACACGAATCCTTCCTGGGCTGGACTTGAATATTGCACGCTTGAAGCGACCGTAAATAAGGTTCTACGCACAAATGCATGTGGTGAGAGTGATATGCCTTATCAACTTTCAAAAGTTTCACGGAGCATTTCGTTTCCAAGGCTTCGTAAGCTTCCTGTATCGCATCCGTGTCCCCAGACAGGGTCACGCTGGTTGGGGAATTGCTGGCTGCCACACAAATACGGCCGGTGAACTGTTCTGTCTGACAGAAAGATAAGGCATCGCCGAGAGAGATATTACTCACAGCCATCATAGATCCCGGACTGCGACTAGACATGGTATGGTAGCCCCGATAGTAAGCTATACGGATCGCATCGGAGGAGGACAAGATGCCAGCCGCGTATGCTGCGGCTATCTCCCCTGAGGAGTGACCCACGACCATATTAAACGATATACCGGCGCATCGTAAAAGATCAACCAGAGCAATCTGTACAGCTGTGCAGAGCGGCTGCGCTATCTCGGCCTGATAAATGCGGGAGGATGAAGCATCAGCCATGATTTCATCCCTCAGAGACCACGAGGGGGGATCCGGCACACTCGCTAGAGAATGTTCGCAATGCTCGATAACATCGCTGAACACAGTCGAGGCTAAAAGCAACTCCCGTCCCATCCGTGGCCATTGCGCTCCCTGGCCCGTGAAGATGCCAAGGATCCTGCGATCCGTCTCAGAGCTGACCCAGCGCGATCGCATGCTAGTAGTGCTAGGTGGCGCATCTCTCAATCTCTGTGCCTGCTCGTCCATGGAAGCCAGCAAGCGATTTTTTGTTACGCCGGTGAAGGCCGCTCGAAAGGGAAATACGGTTCGGCGTAATTGCAGGGTCCATGATAGATCCTCAAGGTTAATAGAATCATTTACCTTGATATGATCGGCCAGCAATTCGATGGCTGAGACGAGAGAAGATGGTGAGTGGGCAGAAATGATCAGTGGTCCGAGCAAGCTCGCTTCCTGGGTCTGCGTATGCTCGAGCTTTCGGCATTCCGAATCATAACTTTCTATAATAGCATGCGCACTGGATACGTCTGCATGAGCATCATGACACATGGGAGAAAATCTTGAGGGGCAAGGCAAGGACTCACTTTGTGCCCCCAAACCCAAAGGTATTCACACTAGCTCGCCGGGGACAACCAGATCCTACATCTGGCCACGGGCGAGCCTCAATGGGGATTTCCAGATGCGTGTAAAAAGGCTCAATAGCGGGATTAAGAGTGTTAAAGTGCATGTTGGGCGGTATGATGCCGTGCTGCACAGCAAGAGAGGCCTTCAGGAGACCGGCAAGCCCAGCGCAGCCTTCGAGGTGGCCAACAACGGTTTTGATAGAACCTACGTAAAGCTTGTTTTTCTCTCCAGAGACGTTAATAGCTTCTTCGGCTGAAGAATAGCTGAGGTCGGGAAAAAAGGCATTCCTAATTGCCTCGGCCTCGACGGGGTCACCTGTCGGCGTTCCCGTCCCATGAGCCTCGAGATACTGGCACCTCTCAGATTTCAAGCGGCAGTCGAGTCCAGCCCGGCGGTAAGTCTCACGTATCAGCGCCGCCTGGGCCGACGCGCTGGGCATGGTGATTCCCGGCGTGCGGCCATCTGAGCCAACCCCAGTTTCACGAATCACGCACTCGATATGGTCCCCGTCCTTCAGTGCTTGGCTTAGTGTCTTAAGAATAACTGCCGCAAAACCCTCGCTTCTTGCGTAGCCGTTAGCGTTGATATCCCACATTCGCGATCTTGAATCGGGGGAGAGCATGTGGAGTTTAGATTCAGCGATGTAGGCCTCAGGGGTCAGGATTAGGTTGGCCCCAGCAACGACAGCCAATTTCGATTCGCCACTGCGCAGGCTCTGGACTGCTTGGTGGACACCGACGAGGCTTGACGAACAAGCTGTGTCAATGGTCATTGATGGGCCCTTTCACCCTTTTGAGTCAGCGCAAGGAGGGCCGTTGTTGCGAGGCATCCACCCAGTGCAGTATTACATACCTTCAAGTCAAAGAAATAAGAAATCCGATTGGAGAGGATACTGTTCGCGGATCCTGTCACTGCGTGTCTGGACATGGTATCCCAATCCCCAAGCTGAATGGTGGAGTGATCCGACGACATGACACCCACATACACCGATGTCTGTGAACCTCGCATCGCCTCAAGCGTCATTCCCGCAGACTCCATTGCTTCATAAACCACCTCGAGCAGAATGCGCTGCTGAGGATCCATGGTCTCGGCCTCCAACCCAGTTGTGTTGAAGAACACTGCATCGAAAAGTCGATAGTCTTGCGAAAGTAGATACGATTTCTGTACGTTACCAGTGCCATGGTGCTCCCCGTTTGGATGATAGTAGCTTTTCAGATTCATCCTACTGGGCGAAAACTCCTCCAAGATATCGCGGGGCTGGCACAACAGCTCCCATAGTTTCGAGGGGGTTGTTGCTGGTCCCGGGAAACGAATGCTGGAACCCACCAAGGCAATTGCCTCATTGCTGCGAGGCAGTTCTACGACCTTCATCTTACTCGAAAGTACGGATTGAGAGATGACAGTGTAGAGGACAGCGATGATACAGAGTGATGAAAGCTGTCATACGGTAGTGCAATATAGGCCTATTAAGTAAGAACAGCAAAACCTAGGGAACTCTAACTCCGGGTTGATCGGGAGACCGTCTACAAGAGTAACCCCGCCGATTAAGCCCCTATTCTGTACGGCTAACTGGACATCATAAGTGTATCAATTCTGTGTGGCAATAGAGTCATGTCATGGGCGTCGATCACCCGACAGGCAGATCATGAGCGACTTCGGGGTAAATCTCTCCAGTTGGCATCTTGAGTGTATGGAGTGTCTATGTGAGCGAGTACCCAGCGTGTTTCTTGATACGGATCGAAAACTCCGGCGACTGTTGCATCATGATTGTTGTTACTTAGCCTAACTTGTCGACATAGTCCTACCGACGATAACGTGTAATGCAGACGTGACGGCGAGCAGCGCATCCTTGATTACCTGTATACAAAGAAGCCTATCATAGCCGTAGATTTTCTGCAGGCATTTACACAGGTGTCTCCCAAATTTTCGTCGCAATGGGTTATGAACGCACAGCTCGTTCTAGCCCTCCATTGCTCTGTACTGATATCACGGGATTGGAGAATCGTACGCTGCAGTTCTTGTTCAGCTCATGCAGTTCTTGTTCAGCTCAATATACGCCGCGCCAAGACGGCCGGAACTTCCACATCGCGACGATCGAGACAGATGGATATGCACTCCGCACTCTCTGTTATCTTCTGCGCTAATGAAATGTCAACAGGTGTATCATGTGTGTCTTCTACAGCTCGGTTGTGATGCGTTCAACCTTGCACACCGAACCCCTTTACTAAGTTTCGACATGCGGGTTAGGATCAACTCAGCTAAATAATGTCAAAATACCCAATTATGGGCTCAAGCACTATCAGGAAGTCGATGTAGGCTAATTTATCCTGCTGGTTGACTGGACGGGTGACCCGGCATTTGGTGTATTACGACATGATCCCTGGGGAGGGGCGTCACGCCGTGCTCTGTGTTGATCTATTGTCTGAGGCCTAAGAAATGCTTGCTCGTATGCGTTAGTTAGAGTACCAGATCGTCGTCTGGAGGATTTAAAAGCATTTCACATTCCCCGTACACTTCACCATTTTTTCAGTCTCTATATCTTTAATCATCCATCTTCTCGTTTCAACTCCTTTTCCAACCCGCATCTCATCCTTCTTGCGAGTATTAGTCTAAGTCTAAGATCAACCAACTATTATCAGCATGGCTCCTTCCGCTGAAGAGATAGCAAAGCTTATTAAATCGCGCCTACCAGGTGAAACTTCTATTCTCTTGACGGAGAAAAACCAACCCGGATCTGTCCTGAGTCTTTTCACGGAAGACTTCAAGATCACCGTCGTGGGGCAGGAATTTGACCTTGCCTATGGCGCCACCGGCATCGCTGCGGCTAAGGACTATCTCATCGGCCGCCTGACTCCTACCATCTTCGGCTCGCTGGACGACAGCAAGGCAGCCAAATCCGAAGTTGTCCGTGTGACTGGCGGCGGAGATAACCCATGGGCAGCAGTGGAATTCAAAAGCACCGCTACCTCGCTGAAGGGTAAGACGTCGAACTTGACGTGTAATTAGCCCAGGTCGCTAACTATATTGCATCGACAGGCAAGCCGTGGGTTCACGAGTGCGTGATCATGCTTCATTTCACAGACGACGGGAAGATCACTGAAGCAAAGGCTTATTTCGACACCCTGCACCTCCAAAACCATATTTTGGACAGCGCAGCATAGAGGCTTGACCGGCTGCTTGCAGACTGCATTCGGATGCCACTGAGTCGTAAGTGAGTGGGATATAAGTCGAGGGCATCAGGCCAGCAATATGTATGAGCATACCAATAGCCCCAGATCTACAGATGCGTCGTAGAAATACATTCTTTTCTTACTATCTCTGCTTTTCAAGCCTAGATTGTATGATATCTTCATACGTAAAGGTAGAGATTGTTTTCATCTTTAATTTCATAATGTCCCGTGCTCGTAGTTTGCATCTAGGAGGTAGGTTATGAATATGATTAACTAAACGACTTGTCACGTTGTTGTGGGGAGCGCTAGTGTGCTCTCCCTGCTTAGTAATCAGCTGAGCGTTTATATAAGCCATTTACTTCGTACGGATGACCGTTTTAAAAGTTTTGTCCATAAGGCGCCCCTGTCAAGCCCGACACGTACTGACCATGATTGGCTGGTATTAGCGGCTTAAAGATAAATGTATTCCGTATATATAAAATATTACAGTTTAACTGCTCGGCACTTTTCCGTAACGCGGTGAAACGGTTATAAATAAGAGTCACTCATAAATAATACTGACCTCCAAAGACGATCAGGTTTTTCGGCGAACAACGTTACCAGATAAAGTATTAGGCAAATACATGTACCAATAGCATTATTCAGATTCGAACTATAACTCGCTGGAGTAACTACGTAACAAAAACGTAAAAAATAATGTCAAGATTAGTTCCAGATCTATCTGTAACCATTTTATCTCTGTATACCTACATACCTAGGTAGGTATACGTTGGGGTAATGGTGTAGCGTTTCAAGCGGCAGTCGAAATGTAACCGCAACAAATGCGGGCACACGGAGATCATCCAACTATGGTTAAGATGGAGTCAATTAATATATAGAGAGTGAATTCCGAACCCTCAACGTCACGGCCAAGATGCAACTACTGGTTGCGAGTGGTGTTTTTAGTGGTGCCTACCCGATTCCCACGCTGCACAATAACTTCAGCTGGCCCAAGAACACTTATTCTAACCAAATCTGCAATGGAGCAATAATATGCAGGTATAGAGCAATTGCGAGATGAAAAACTGAGACGCACAACATACATGATGTAAAATACCACACTGAATATGTACTACCATGTACTATCACTCTTCTCGAACTTTGTAATACCCATATAGGCAGGTAGTTTAAACACAATCTACATTATGCATCCTAGTCAAGTCCTACATACCTAGGCATGTGAGCTTGAACTGTACTTGAGCACCTATTATTTTGTAGACGATGTTCCAGTAATATCCTTTCAATGACCAACCGTCACACATGAACGCAAGGAAACCTTGAAATTTATATCGAGAGTCTAGGAGCATCAACATCGGAACTATTACGTAAAGCATGGCTCTCGACGACCGGCCTTCGTCAAAGGTTCAGCTCCATAATATCCAACGATCCGGTTCGCTAGATTTGAGGAAATGCATCATCGCCGGTCTTCAAAGTACTCCGAAGACGATGCCTTCGCTACTTCTTTGGGACGATCAAGGACTTAGAAACTATGAGGCTTGGACGAACGATCCAGCGTACTATCCAAAACGTTGCGAATGGGATATTCTACGGAACTGCGCAACTGACATGGCTGGTCAACTTCCAACGAAGTCTGCCATCATTGAGCTAGGCTGCGGGTACATATGCCTTGATACATCTATCCTATATAGAGATAAACGCCCTGACTAACGTTTAATCAATTATAGAAACCTCAGTAAAACTGCATGGCTACTTTCTAATATGGCAAAGAAACACCGACATGTGGTGTACTACGCTCTGGATGTCTCTGGTGATGCTCTCTACACAAATTTACGCGACCTCGAGAAACAGTTAGCTGCATCTCATTATGTACAAATTTCTGGATTATGCGGCACCTATAGCGACTGCGTCGAGTGGTTGGCTAATTCGCCCCCTCTTCCGGTGTCTACGGTGACATTTCTATGGCTGGGGAACAGCATTGCCAATATGACCCAAGACGACGCAAGCGCCTTGATGGGGCAGTTGCGAGCAGCTTGTGAGAAAATGAGCGTCGATTGTAACTTTCTTATTTCCGCGGACGGTTGTCAGATAGAAAATCGAATACTTAAGGCGTACAACCCTACGAACGGACCGTCCAAAGTGTTTCTCTTCAATGGCCTTCACCATGCAAACAGACTTCTGGGGCCAGTGACATTCAAAGAGGAGGAGTGGGCCGCCATCCCTGAGTGGAACAAGGAGGAGAATGAGCTTCGATACTACTACGCGCCTAAGAGAGATATCCAACTAAAGATCGGTGAATTAAGCATTGGAGTGAAGAAGGAGGAGATGATCTATTATTTCATGTCTGGGAAATGGAGCGAGACGCAGATGAGCTCTATTGCTAGCAGGGCAGGGCTGAGCATTGGTAAAATATGGAAAGACGTCCATTACGAGTATGGTGAGTATTTTAAGGTCATAACTCCACATTCTTTGGCGTAGTTATATTGAGATTTCTATCTAGGTTTTTATCATTTACAGAGCTCGACAAAGTCTCCTCCTTCTGTTGGACGAAGCGTATCGACCGAACGGTCACTGCTTTGATTGGATCAATCTTGCACGGATTAGTTATTACGCAAAATATTATGTACGATATAATACTTTTTAACTTAATTTATTTATTTACGCAAGAAAAGTTTTGTTTTTCAGGTTTTATTAACGTAAAATTTGTTAATATAATAATAAAAGGTTAAATTTTACTTTACCATGACATTCCTTACTCCTTATTACATCCAGTGAGAGTTTTGTGTACTTGATCATGTAGATGTTGTGATAAGTGGCTGCATGCAGCTGTCATCGGGTGCATCATATTTAATCTCAAATGATGGGATCCATTCCTTTATTTCTATATACGTCGTTAAGGAATTTGATGAATGTGGTATCTAGCACAGATCCTACGACTAAGTCTGTCATTAAGAGGTATTTATTCGCTCACTTTGTATTGCCCGCTATACCGTACAGATGATGCGCCAACGATTTTCACTACCTAAAGATAACCATGGGGCTCTGTCATTTTTCGTCCCTCCTTAATTTCACTTTCAATTCTCTCTCTTGCTTGATACTGGATTAAGTCAGACAACGGAGCTGGCCAGAGTAGCTTTTGTTTCCTGCCATCTGTTTTGTGCTGGATTCGCGGCAATAAATATGGGCATAACGCTCAAGCCTTCCACTACCCCCCCGAACACTTCTTTGCCAGTAGATCCATCGTTTGCAGGTTTCGGTATAGAGCCTTCAAACCTGTTTTCATTTTTGGGTGCAGAAGAGCCGGATACTTTTACCCTCAATCTTCTCGGCAATCTTGCGAGTTATACTGGAAAACCACCACATGTTCGTATTAGTGGGAACACGCAAGATTATATGGTATTCCAAGAATCTCAAAACGGGTAGACATGGATTCAGAATAAATATCCATTTAGTTTAGGGAATCTTCAGCCTGATAGCATGCCAATTAGGCACCGTTTCTTTGAAACAGCGAACCGCCTGCCAAGAGGCACAATTGTGACCTGGGGTTTGAATTTGGCATATGAACAAGATGATTATATTGAACTGATTACGGCAATGACGAAGCTTGCTATATCTAGTCGTCCAAATCTGACCATTACATCTTTTGAAATCTGAAATGAGTCGGATCTTTACTTATAGAATGGCTTTCGGACAGGTAAATAGGAAGGCCAGGTCTACACCCAGCAGTGGGCAGAACGAGCCTCTGCAATACATAAGCAGGTTCTACAACCTAATGATATCACGAGTAACTTCTTCGAGGCCGCGGCTACTACATCAACGATCGGGACAGACTTTCAGATAGCTGACCTTGTGAGCTATAACATCTCTGTAGAAGCCAGCGGTTCCACAACTCGGTATCTGAGCGGTTGGAATCAGCAAAATTACTACTATTACGTTGGCGTCTCGGGGTATCCCGTATCACTCGGACAACTCGTGGGGCTGCAGAAAACAGAGGACCAATTCGAAGCCTGGGCTGAACAGGTCAAACAAGAGTAACAGACCCGGTATCCGTATGCGTTACGAGAGATGGGAGTCGTCGGTCCCATAGGCCTCGTAGGTGGGACTAATGTTTTTGGAACTGGCCTCTGGGCCTTGAATTTCCTGCTGTACGCCTCTAGCCTTGGGATCACCTCAGTAGTACTACACATGACAGATAATTCTAACCTAAGTGCATGGTTGCCGATACCCATGTACGAGCAACAACTAACATCCATTGTCGTCGTCAACGGGAAGATAGTCAACAGCTCGCAGGACCACAAGGACGGCATGGCCGTACAATTGCAGCTACAGCCTTCCACAGCGGGTCGGACCGTTTATCTATCGTACCTAAGAAACTCGGGAGCAGAATCAACCGAGAATACAACGTGGAACGGAATCAGCTTCGAGCAGAATAGGGACGGCACTCCTCTGCAAGTCTCAGACGACGAGCATACGGTTCAGGTGGATGCTAACAGTATGGCTAACTTATGCTACGAGACTCAGAAGCTGTAGCCGCAAGTATCGGCGGGAAGTTAAGCGGCTTCCTGCTTGACAGTGCCCGGGAAATCGCCAGGGGCCGGGAGTCCGGCTAGACCCACACCTTCCGCCGGCACTAGTGAAAACGACGACTCTAAAAAGTCCGGGGCTACGGAGCCTTATATTAGGTACCAGCGAAACTTACATCCGCGTGTCTCATCACGATAGGTTTTGTGCTAGTGGTTGCATTTTGATATTATAGATTAAGTTTATCTGCTATTAAGTGGATGGATTTAAGACCTGATATATATATATATGTAACGATTAACTACCTCCTAACTTGAATGATTACTACACGTAAGTTTGCGATGTTGGCTATGAATCAATAAAAATATTTCACCACTATAGATAGACTTAATTTTGCCGATGATCTTAGATCTTGCTGGGGAAATTATATCACGCACTATGATAGAGGTTCTTTGGACTTATATAGGTAAGGCTTGTATAGATAAACGCAGAAATACATGGGGAATTACGTCAGTCTATTGTATTTGACTCGTGAAGAGGCATCTATAACTAGTAAAACTAGTATCATCTAGAGTTTCACGCTCAACAATCAGATCTATGCTAATTAGATCCGACCCTCTACCCTCAAGCGTACATAACCGTGGTTGGGTAGTCACATATAAAACCATTCCATCATACCCATATCTGTACGTGTTTTACGCCTCGAATTGGGAAAACTGAGATTAATAAATTCTGATATCGGCGTTTAACCCTGGAACTCTTGTAGTTTGCTTTCTTCCCATCGCCCAGGGACGAGAGCAAGTGGCACAATACCGGAAACGTGGATCTCGGGGCCGAAGATCTTGGCGTTCAGGCCAAGCTCTTGTGTCGCAGCCTTCATGTTCTTGAGACCTTCCTGGTAGTTAGGGCCGGCGCGACGGACCCAAATTTGGACGTTGTGCTCGTTCAATTGCTTAGCATATTCGCGAAGTGCCCGGATGACACCCTTGAAAGTGGACGCCACATTTGTGAAGTTGGCAATACCGCCACCAATGAACAAAACCTTGCCCTTGGGGTCCATAGGAGCACGCAGCATCAAATCCAAGACGGTACGGGCATAGTAGTAGGTCTGAGACTCGGTGGGAGCACCAGAGTATTCACCGTAATTGGCTAAATCGTCGGCAAAGCCGGCAGACGCGATAGCATCAGCATAGACGACGGAAGCACCACCACCAGCAACCAGAGTCCAGATGCGGCCGTTAGGGTTTAGGACAGTGAGCTTCAGAGAAGCACCGGTCTTAGCGTCCAGCTCAGCAATGTAGGCTTCCTCCTTGGTAAGTTCACGACCAAAAGGCGCGGGGAACTCCATGGGAGGACCAGCATCAACACTGACCTTGTCACCAGCGCTAGAGACAGCAGTAATGCCCAGGTTTGCAGGTGACCGCGCGATGGCCCATTTTACGCCACACTCAAAGTCGGCGGTTTGATCTAACTTAGCAGCAAGATCGAGGAAATAAACTTCAGCTGAGGTGCCAGCGGCGTTGGGGATGACAACTAGGGGGTTGATCTCAAGGTAGGTGAACTGGCTGTCAACATATACCGCGTATAGACGGGTAATGAAGTCAACTAGGACATTGTGAACACCCTTGGGGACCTTCTTTAACAGCGTGTTGGCAATCTCATCGTTAGAGGGATATTGCGAAAGGTCAACAGGAATGAGTAGCTTCTCGGCCTTAGCATCGACATCACCAACGTCGACACCACCTTCGTGGGTGAAGAGAATCCAATCTCCCTATTAATGAATTAGTCAGTATTTTTTTTTTGAAGTTGATTGGTTGATAGCATTTGTTTTAGGGAGATAACACGTGTGAGCAAGGCTGGTATGTGTTGTTGGTACGGTGGGCGAAGGGGGAAAGTGGATGCAACAGGAGCGCATATGGTTTAGCCCTCCGTTCGCCCGTACACACCGGTTCACTCCTGGATTCCCAATCAAATAAGAGCACGGCAGCAGCCATTTTGGTGCACATAATAATTTCATCAGTGATAAGAACGCAACCTCTCCGGGACTTCCTGGATACCGTTCGCATTTCTCCTCATTTCCCTTATTTACTTTAACGTCCTTATCTTCAAGTATCCCGTATCTTCGCAGCTACGCACTGGCTGGCTGCTATTGAAATAATTCGCCCGATGAAGAGCATCGGGCATAAAACAAAGCTCGACAAAAACAACGCAAAATGCTTAAATGGGGTACTGCACTTACATCTCGAACTGAGTTTATGTTGATGTAGTACTCAGTGCCATCCGGGTGAGGTACGAAGGGCTCCACGAGGAACTGGCGCAGAACACCCTCGGTGTGTTCGACCTTCTGTACCTTGCCGGCGCGCTGGGCAATCCACTCCTTCGCCTCAGGCCAGGGCTTGTTAAGGGCCAGAAGACCACTCTTGCCTCGCCTCTTAATCAGCTGATCAGGCTTTGCAACGAACTTGGCGCCGCTGTGAAGTAACCACGGGTACGTGATCTCAGCCTGGTTCAGCACCGCGTTGACGTCGGCATCCTCGGGGAAGTAGAGTGAGGCCAGCTTCGGCGGCGGGTTGTGTGTCGTGGGCTTGGGAAGGGGACTCGGCTTGATGACGGGAGCGCGAGTGAGGTGGTAGTTAAGAATGGCCTTGCCGTCGGCCTCGAAGATTGCCTTTGCGGACATTGTGACGAGAGGAACGAATTATACGAAAGAGGTATGTGCTTAATTACACTCTATTCAATTGTCGAGATCGTTTCTAGAAGGGACAATCAGCAACTGCGTTTTCTCTGTCTTCAATGTCTTCAAATGAAACCACAAGTGTGGAAGGGAAGAGATTGAATTTGGACTGGTAGAGTTCGAACTTTGGAGGATAAAGGTACAGGAGAACTTGATGCAGAGAACTCGGTGCAGATAGACAGGCCCGCAGAATGAGGGGATTGGCAAGGCCGTCTTCTTTTTCTCTTACCTTGTCACAACTGAATATCTCTCAACCCAGGGATATGGAGACTACGATACGATACGACCAAGGGGGATTATGGTGAAGGGGTGAAGGGGTGAAGGTTGGGGAGATTTTTGATTGCAAAGGCGACAATGTTGACTGCAACAACAACAGCAAGAAATTGGAAGATTGAAGATTGGTCCTTCGAAAAGACTATGAAGGTGCGGTACGATGCGGTGCGGTGCGAAGCTCCCCGCCAACGCAGGTCCAGTTCCGTCCCTTTTTTTTCTTTTGCCCAGAACCCTTGGAAAACCTCATTCCACTTTTCGGCACAAGGCACTGCTGTCTGGTCTGTGCCCAACTAAACTTAGTGGATCCTGGTACTTGGTGGGTGCGAGTGGGTACCTAAATTGAGTTTTGGAGGGGCGCTAGACGATGTAGCCTACAGGGACGGACAACATCACGCCAAAACCATTGGGGCGATCCCGGAAGCCCTCGTCAGCAATCGGAGGGGCGTTTTTGTACCGGTACCCCAACACAAACAACCTACCACGGTCACCTGCAATCACGGTCACCTGCAATCCCATAATCGATGCCACCGGGTACCGACGTATATTGATCTTATCTCTTACACGGCTTGTATTCACGCATTTCGCAAAAATCGCAGCAACATCAATACACGCGCTACTCTCAATTTGAAATACCTGGATACCTACCTAAAGCATTGAAGCTAACACTGTCAATTTTTTAGTGAGCTGCGTCTGCTAAAGACAAGCAAGCCATAAGCTGCCTGTTATCGGCATCATTTCTTCCAACAGGATCTTTCCTATATCGAGATTTGGCCGGGTCTTGTCTTATCATTGGCAGATCGGGCTTATCACTCGGATTTCGAGAAGGGATCGAGGATCAGTCAGCATTGGAAGTGTCCAATCCTTCATGTCCCAGATCCACTGCTATGACAAAGCTGTCAGACAGCCTCAGCTGAGGGAAGATGGAGTAATTCGCAATGCGAGTATCACGTCGTTACCTATCTTTGTCGGTTATGGAACGTCCCACAACGAAACATCCGTAACGGACTTTACCCCGGAGTTGGATATTGGGGACTCCGGCAAAAAATATGAAAATGAGTGAATTATAGTGTTACCTACTATCATTCCCCAATGCGGTGGGCCACTTAGATGGATGCAAGGTGTACATCTCCTTCAAGTGAATGATGCTTGTCTACACATTCGAAAATTCTGTCTGGTCTTCCTAGGTTTGATATTGACTCAATTCTTTTTTTTTCTAGTAGTCATGAATGACTATTTTTTTTCTCTTGTTTGCATTTATCATTTATTACAGGTATTCCTTAATGCACACATACACCTTGCTGATCCGGACGAAGGAAGCTCAATCGGCTTGCTGTTTGTCTAGGATGGTAAGATGAATAAGACGAGACATATGTAATCTGGTAAAAGGTGAGGATGGAAGTCGATGTTAAGATCTCGGTACCGGTACATAAAAACGGGGATCTCAAAGGGCGGGGATTGGCAAGCCAGCTACGTACCGTTCAATGGTACCTCACTACAAAAGCTTTAGGTGGGGTGGTCTCATCAGATATGCCCAACCAGCAAATTTCAAGTCGCCAACATAAGCAGGCTTGCGCAGGATCAACAGGGTCGTTGCATCGGAAGTCAAAGATGCACCATAATTGGACCAACAAGGCATCACCGACATAGTAGCGTGCAGGCTATCGACTCTGGCGAAAAGGGGTCTAAATTCAACAACACACATAAAAATTTACCCCAACTGTTCCGGGCAAGACCAATTTTTTACCGGACATTCTGTGGACTCATTTTACGTCGCGACAGCAACAACCCAGGTCTATTGCATAGAAACGGAAGGAAACTGCGGTTGCGTCGCTTTCCTTTTCCTATTCCTTATCATCCTTCAACCGTTCAACGCTAAACGGTACGTATGTATCTTGTATATCTCAGGTCTCAGTCTTACCCGGCATATCCCAACCCCGTTTTCCCCGCTGTTGAGCCTTTCGCGGTGGCAGCATCAATCAACTTCGACTGAGAAAAATAATCCCTATCGCTGCCCATAGCCCATCAAGTCAATTTCACTCTTTCCCTCTTCCTCTCAATACACATTTCATTCCAAATACTCCCTTTTCCCGTGATAGCCTCTCTTGCCATTAGCTTGGTGATTGCAATTGCGTCTAACACCTGTGCAGCTTCCGGGGCGACGACACGGTGAATCCCAATCTTAAGGTACGTCGAGTTTACAACACTTTCCTTTTCCATTCGTAGCCATTTACCTTGCATCGTCCGTGTTTCATCAACTACCTTCCTTAGCTTGGTCTTTCGCCGGTTCGATTCAATTGGCCTTGCTCAGCTTTGGCGCTGACGGTCCTACTGAATCCTTCCAGTGCAGAGACGGGCTGAATCGGCCGTTCTGAAAATCACCGAGAATCCCAAAGCTTGGTTTACTGTTGAATAGTCCAAGTGATTCCCCGTCTACTAGTGAACCTACATTCTATGAACTGTATTCAAACCAAGTTATGGGACGTCTGTAGCTAATTTTGGTCGCCAACTCTACAGATAAATCTTTTGCGGATTTCATACGACGAAGATGTCTTCAGCTGCGGCCAACGGTGTGAACGGCACCGCCAGTGGTGGTTTGTCTGCAAACGATAATATCGCTCGCTTCGCTGCTCCTAGCCGGCCTCTCAGCCCCCTTCCCGCACACGCCTTATTCAACGACAAGACAAGATGCTTTGTCTACGGTCTCCAGAACCGAGCTGTCCAGGGCATGCTTGACTTTGACTTCATCTGCAAGAGGCCCACGCCGTCAGTTGCAGGTATCATTTACACTTTTGGTGGTCAATTCGTCAGCAAGATGTACTGGGGAACTAGCGAGACTCTTCTCCCGGTTTACCAAGAGACCGCTAAGGCTGTGGCTAAACACCCCGATGTTGACGTTGTAGTCAACTTCGCCTCCTCGCGAAGTGTCTTCAGCTCAACGATGGAGTTGATGCAATACCCTCAAATTAAGACTATCGCTATTATTGCGGAAGGTGTGCCTGAACGAGTAAGTAAATACTACAAATAGCTTTAGCTGATTAACCATTTATTAACCCACATAATAGCGAGCACGAGAAATCGCCCACGTCGCGCGGCAGAAGGGTGTGACTATCATTGGCCCTGCCACCGTCGGTGGTATTAAGCCAGGTAGCTTCAAGATTGGTAATACTGGTGGTATGATGGACAACATCGTTGCTTCCAAGCTTTACCGCAAGGGTTCCGTCGGTTATGTCTCCAAGTCTGGCGGTATGTCGAACGAGCTAAACAACATCATCTCACAAAACACCGATGGTGTCTATGAGGGTATTGCTATTGGTGGTGATAGATACCCGGGAACCACATTCATCGACCACATGCTGAGATACCAGCAAGATCCCGACTGTAAGATTCTTCTGCTGCTCGGTGAAGTTGGCGGTGTCGAAGAATACAAGGTCATCGACGCGGTGAAGCAGGGTGTCATCACTAAGCCAATTGTCGCATGGGCCATCGGTACTTGCGCGAGCATGTTCAAGACAGAGGTTCAGTTTGGCCACGCTGGTTCCTTCGCCAACTCACAGCTCGAGACTGCGGCTATGAAGAACAAGCAGATGAAGGAGGCGGGATTCCACGTCCCTGACACATTCGAAGATCTCCCTCAGGTTCTCGCTTCTGTCTACAAGAAGCTTGTCGAAGAGAAGACCATTGTCCCTCAGCCGGAACCCGTTGTTCCTAAGATTCCCATCGACTACTCTTGGGCCCAGGAGCTTGGTCTCATCCGGAAGCCTGCCGCCTTTATCTCCACTATCTCTGATGACCGTGGACAGGAGCTTCTCTACGCCGGTATGCCTATTTCTGATGTCTTCAGGGAGGACATTGGTATTGGTGGTGTTATGTCTCTCCTCTGGTTCCGTCGTCGTCTGCCTGAATACGCCTCCAAGTTCCTGGAGATGGTTCTCATGCTTACTGCTGACCACGGTCCTGCGGTCTCTGGCGCCATGAACACCATTATCACCACCCGTGCCGGTAAGGATCTGATCAGCTCCTTGGTTTCCGGTCTCCTCACCATTGGTTCTCGCTTCGGTGGTGCGCTTGACGGTGCTGCTGAGGAGTTTACCAAGGCAGCCGACAATGGCCTCAGTCCCCGTGAATTTGTTGACTCTATGCGCAAGCAAAATAAGCTCATCCCGGGTATTGGTCACCGTATCAAGTCGCGGAACAACCCTGATCTCCGTGTAGAGTTGGTCAAAGAATACGTATTAGCCAAGTTCCCCAGCCACAAGTTGTTAGATTACGCATTGGCTGTCGAGACAGTAACCACCTCGAAGAAGGACAACCTCATTCTCAATGTTGATGGTTGCGTTGCCGTCTGCTTCGTCGACCTTATGAGGAGCTGCGGTGCTTTCAGCGCCGAAGAGGCTGAAGACTACATGAAGATGGGAGTCTTGAACGGTCTATTCGTCTTAGGCCGCAGCATTGGTCTGATTGCTCATTATCTTGACCAGAAGAGACTACGTACCAGTCTATACAGGCATCCTTGGGATGACATCACTTACCTGCTCCCGACTCTGTCGAATACCGGACCCGTCGGTGAAGGTAGAGTAGAGGTTTCGGTGAAATAGATAGACAACTGTTATAGTCTGTGGCGTATTTAGAGGTATCGCATTCCAATGCGTTTTTTGTCCTGATAAATGGGAAGAGTTTTGCTAGATAGTTACACAGAGGTAGAGATAGCTGCCTCAAAAGGTCAGGTCGAGGCTGATGACGAGCGGAGATTTACCATTTAGTTCAGCAGACGAGACGCATGGTCAGAGCATGTCTGTAGCATAATACCAAGTCGTAAAACTCCTTGTCGGTGTTTTTATTAATCTAAGCCAAAGATTTGTGATATCTAAAGAGGCTTTTTAATCGAACATGAAGTTGGTCTACAAAAGTGTTTTACATAGCATTACATACATCCTTGCTTCTTTTCCAATATTTTCTCTTTTGAAAAAGCGTAACCACACGTATTCTGTTAAAACGGTCCTAATTTCTCATCTTATCTGCTTATGTCCCAGCTTATGTAAGGCATTGAATCATGTATGTAATCCGTATATATACATATCGTAGTGTACGAAAGCCCGCAGTTGGCAAAACCTCGGGTGGTCCACTTAAAAGTCGGCATTTTAATGTTAAGCTTCGCAAAGACAACTACAATCGTCGATACTGACGTCTAATTCGCGTAAGCCCATGAAGCTTGGTCGGTTTGCAAAGCGCCGGGATAGTTGCTTGTGACAAAAAGGTATATAGTATATTCTTCGTTAATGATTCCAGCAGCTTTCAAACCCCTTCACTACTCCACCGTTCTTCGAAGCTTCCTTAAAAAAATATCCAAGACATCAACTAACAACCGCATCAGCCAAGTCAGCTCTACGACCTGATCGTCGACTCTCGCAACTCGATCCATCCACCCACGCGAATAAGAAAGGGAAAGAAAATAAGATGTCGTACTTTCGCATAACACTTCACCGGTCTGCCATCGGTCTACCGGAACGCACGCGCGGCGTGTTAGCAGCGCTCGGCCTGCGCAAACGCTCGCAAACCGTGTTCCAGCCAGTATCCTCGCAGTCGGCGGGTATGATCCTTAAGGTCAAAGAGCTAGTCAAGGTGTCCGAGGTCGACCGCGCGCTTACACCTAAGGAGCTGCGCGACGAGCGAAAACCGGAACCCGGTTTCTGGATCGAGAAGGCTGTGCCGCGGTGATATTTTGGCTTGGTGCGAGGAGCGGCGAATATGCTTAAGATAAGGGAAGAACAGAACAGGGTGGCAGAGAGGAAGTTGGTATACTAGAAAGTGCGAGGATACGGGTGCCTTTCTAGTAACTTCAGAATCGTTACCGGTAAGAGGCAACGGTTCGAGGCATATTGCTAGGAGATTCGCGGACTTGCATTACCTACGAACTCAGAGCTATTCCCGTTAGTCATCTGTGGTCAAATAGAAAGGCTTATGAGCATTCAGCTTAATACGAGAGGTCGCTTAGAGCTTATGCTATGTACATATAATGTACAATCAATACAGTAAAACATTTACATTATACTTGCTTGTTCAGGGCAGTTTAGCAGTGGCTCTGCTCCTATTCCCATTCGTATTTCCATAACTACAGACAGAACTCCAAAGCTACAATTACCTCACGTAAAGAATCATAATAGCATTTCTCGGTAAAACCAAGTAACCTAATCAATATATGATTCTAATATAAAGGAATTCCCAATAAAATAATATAGCCTTAGGCGATCATGTCCGCGTATATCAATAGTCTTATTAATCTATTAGAGTAGAGCCCTATCTCGAAACACTCAACCGACTTGTAATGAAGCTAGATATTTTCTGACTAGAATTTAGACCCTCCTTCATAATAATTGTATTTCAAATAGGCAATCAAGTCAACCATGCCTTGTCCATAATAAGATATGATGGTGTGGTCTCTTTGAGCCTGGTTAAATCTGGGAAGTTGCCATCACTAGCTCAGATCAACTAACCCTCTGACTATCAAATCTTTTCCCTTTCAAATGCCCTCGTATCCATTCTTTCATGGTAGGATCCCACACCTTCAATACTTTTCATTATAGGATTTCCCCTACTACTTACGAAGTACCTCTTTGCATACTATGTTAGATCACCTCGTCACTCCCCCTACCGAAGGTTTAGATGCGTTTTCTCATCAAGAAAGGCTTAGGGTCCCCCGATGGACATATAGATATCGTTGGAAGTCACTACCAGTGGGCATTATGCCACTGGCTCCTTAATAGTAACCCGCTCGGCTACTTACCCATCACAGTCTATAATGAAGGGGAAGTTGCCGACCAGATGATCGCATCATCTAATAGATCAGCTAGTTTATCAAAAGCATAAGAACAGGGCCAAAATAAAATGGGAAACGACGATTGGGAGTCGTCCAAGACATGTCCAGTACGCGATTGTGAAACCATGTCAATTCAAGGATCACATTTGTTCGTGTTATGCCACGCTTTGTTTCCTCAACCATTTATTAGTTTTCACAGGAGCCTATGAGATGCCTACATCTACTGATTGGACTAGTAAATTCATTCAGGAAGTTCTGTCGTATTATCCGGCTCGTGACCGGAGCATCGGCCCTTCTCCCGGTTGCTAACTTCACCGATCCGGGAGATCTTCCGGATCTCTGCCCGCTCCGTGATCCTAGCCTACTTTGCAGTCGGTGGCTACCCGTTGCTGTACGCACTCTCTTCTATAAGATTTTCTTTCTTTCTCTCCTAATCATTGTCTTAACGGAATCTATAACCACTCAACTTACTTCGATTCAACCAATTTGCTCAATGGAATATAACTCCTCCTCTGGTGTAGCTTCGCACTGTATGTACTACTTCCTTTTCTGTCAGCAACTTCTTTGCTATACCGCTATAGAAATGCTCCTTCCCATCGCCGACCGTCCACCGTGGTTTCTCTGTCCGATCGGCCGGTGATTGTGTCGGCGGCTTCCCCACTGCCGGCATTCCGGATCCTTCCATTATTTACCTTCACAAACACTCAAATAATTATTTAGGCCTTACCTTCCCCCTACCACCCCTCTTCATCCATAACATCTCACCATCAAAACCAACACTCTCCCCTTCTTACATCACCCTTTTTCTACAAATCTCCAAGTTTCTGCTCTGGAATTCTATCACGATTAGTCTTCCTACCACTTACCTTTCCTAGGCTTCATTCCTCACACTATTATTTTATACTATCACCTTCGCAAATAATTATCACCATGATCGTCGTGGCTCATTACTATGTTATCCTAATCTAACTAAGTAATATCGCTACCTTAGGTATTCAAGCTGTGTTGCTTGATAGTCTTCGAAACTACGGCCTTGGTAAGTCATCAACTTCGAGCGCAAGAAACAAGGAGACTTTAAAGAAGGCTATGATGAAGATTTCGCGCGAATTGTGACAACTAACAAATGCACAGCGCTTGAGTATAAGTCTAATGTACACAGCATCTAGGCACTCTATCTCGCCAAATTTGATTTCTGGTAAGTCTCATTAAATTACTCGCAATTTTCTTCCTTTCCCATCAGTTAGATTCTGCTCTAATTCACCCTTTCTATTCTAGGACCTCCCAAATCTCTCACCAAAGTAACTTAAATAATGCGACATTCAAAGCCTACATTTCAACTTACTAAACGACCTACATCCTATAAAATCGCCTCCAAGTTACCATAGCAATTCGCACTCATGACCGATTCTAAGGGACACTCGAGGTATATCATCTTTCCGGTTGTGAGCCGACCCGGGATACCCTAAAATGATGATTTTGTTCAAATAATACTATCTAATTTTATACCATATTATTTTATCCTCGGCGCAAACTTTGATAGTCAAAACTAACAGGTACCTAGGGAGTTACTCTCTATAGGTCATCCATAGGTCAATCATCAAAATTATCACATGTTCCCAACTGCAGTCATCTCTCTATCATCCCCTATGGCCCTCATTACTAAAGGGGGCTACTCATCGTCCAAACCCGGTACCGCCATAGATCAGCCCCAATAGAGTAGCCCCTTATTCTAGAACCTACAAACAAGCTCAACAAGTTTCAGCAAGCCACCACAAACTATATACTCCAGGATAACTACGACATTTCAGATACTACTAGGAAGCGAGGACCTGAAGTAATACACCTTCACAGCAGAACAAGCCATACTTAAGGTTGAGTCGAATTCAATTAGCACATCCGGTGTCCCCATTCTATATTTCAGGCCATGCGTATACCTATAGCCAACAGCGCTAGCCAATACAATTACATCACTCAGAGTCTTTTCAACAACCTCGTCACCAAAATATTATCCTAATGCCTTTTTCTAACTCGCGAACGTCCTAGACACGACGTTAAAAGGTTTCGGCAGTGCCTGGTCATTTATGGTCTACGAGCATATTTCAATGTTGTCTTGCTAGTAATAGGACAGCATCGAATGATTCCCCTCGGTTTTATCTCAGTCTTCGAAGGGAGAAAGGGAGACAATCGCCAACTGTCTTGGGGTCACTAAATTAACCACCAGGTAAGTTCATTGCCGCAATCGTGCATTGGGGCACAGTGACTTACACGGCGACGATTAGCAACTGCATGGTCTAAAATAATACATCGCCAAATCTAGTCGAGGATCAAGCATGACCTTCAGCAAGTCCAAAAAAGGCTGTCCTAAGGAACTTATCTATTCTCCTTCCCGGTCGTTACGCCCCTCTAAAACTCTTGCCATAAGAATACCCCCATCATGGTCATTCTATGCCGACAATTCTATAATAAATGCAGAGCCGGCATCCCCCCATAGATTCAGCCGAGGGGTTGTTCAAGAAGTTGAGAGATCCCATGGACAACGACAAGAACGACGCCGTAATTTTCCTATAGTCTTCTTCTATAATATGAACTACCAGCTTTGGATCACTTGATCTACCCTAGGTGAGTCCATAACCACAATCATACATCAAAACTCAAAAATTAACGTATACTAATGATAAGCTGCTGCATAGGTTAAGATGATGCCTTGCGGGATTTACTCCAGAACGAGATGTGATCTTCAGCAAGGCCTATAAAGAATGCCCTAGATGCGTCCTGAGCAATGACGTTAAAAGGCTCCGGCGGTCACCCGTATCAGGCCCACCAAGAGAGTTCGGCGCAGAGAAGATACTATAGACGGGTTTTTTCTCGGCGTCGGCGGCCGTCAAGATCAGGAAGGAGAGAGCCACTTCTCTCTGCCCCCTATACGCAGTTTAATAGTATACAATGCGGGAAGAGAACAACCGTTGCTCCTGGTTCTACCTACCTCTACTAAAATGGATCATTCGATTAACCGAAAGGCCTTTTATCCGGGAAAGCTCTAATTCACCAAGAAAATACCGAAACGGCCAGGGCTCGGGACAGCAAGGCCGCTGACCTGGTTCTAAGAGGATTTGGAGATACTTTCAAGGAAACTCCGAAAGTCTCACTGAATAGGCAGTCATCGAAGTCGACTTTATCGGCCACATCAAGTTCACTCACACTGGAACCAGATGCTTCTGGCCAGAATGGACCTCGACAACTAACCTCCACAACTAAGCATAAGTTCGGGCAGCGCGTCAGGGTTATCCATAGGTTCCATTTGCAGTTAGAGGACTCACCTCCTAGGTATGATAAGATGTCGGCTAAAATATCAGAAAGTCAAAGGAAACGCAGGAATCGATCCAAGTCTCAGCCCTAGAAAAAGAAAGGGGATATGAAACGTATCTACTCTGGATTCCAGCCAGTCCAACGCGAGAGATAATCGGAAACTGTATCGGCGGACTTGGTGGATCTTCGGAGAAAAATGTAGACGACGACGGGCTTGGCATGGTTTAGAAGAGCGAGAGGCTCATCTGAAGCAACAGCATCATCAACGAAATAAGGATGATAGGGCGTAGGTGGTGGCTTAATAAGTAATTAGTTTACGAAGAAAACAGAGAGAGTACGTGTAGGGTATTGTAATAGGCATAAAGCTTGTATAGTGGTAGATATCTTTTGGTCATGACTTACCTATCGTCATTATCACCTATCAGTAGTTGCCTCACTATAACACCGTTAAACCTATATTCCCCTAGATAAAGTCCAGTTCTGACACGAGAATTTAAACTCTTGTTCGGTAGCCAAAGTAGGTATGCCACTGTGAAACACACAACTCCTGGTGGTAACCAGGCCAAGTGTTCTACGATCAATAACATGGTAGGAGAAATACTGCATTCTATAGGAATTAATATGGATATGGGAAAAATTAAGACCAATAACTTGCTTCACGGCATGAACTTAATAATTCTAGTAGCCCCGGTCTATTTAGCAGGCAGGAAAATATTGTGATGGTACCTAAATCAAGTCAGACGGTCACTTAATGTAGCGCAGGGTTCAAGAGTACCTAAGGTATGTAAGGAAATGCCAACGTATTATTATTACTAAAGAAAACAAAGCCATCGCAAAATCAAATGCAACCTCAAAGTATGCGTCCAGACCAATACCGCAAGTATCCTTCCTTTATGCTACAAGTGCATAAATCTCATCTCCTAGGGCACTGTTGCATTAGGTACGTAACCTAGCAAAACGCCCTAACGGTAAGGTTTTCGCGTCGACCAGAGGAAATCTAGTATTTGTACAAGGGGAATCGAAAATATCGTTCCAGAGCTAGAGGCGCCGAAGATGGTGGTGCGGCAAATGGCATTTTGGTCTTCGTCCCTTGAGAAGACAATGCTTGGCGGAATATGCTAAATGAAGAGGCGCAAGTAATAAGAATCACCCACAGCCGAATAACCGCCATTAAACTAATCTTTGGCCTTCTGGATGTAGTCCTGAGGAGGGGACTCGTAATGGCTGACGAAGTACTCTGTTGTGTTCTTAGACAACCAGGTGCAGAACTTGACTAGTTCCTCGCGTAGACGGTTGACCGATTGCTGGTCCATGTTTGTCTGAGCAACAAGCTCCGGCAAGGACACTGTGGATGATTAGCTTCCAGTCATAGGCTGATGCGGAAGGATAATTTACCAATCAGGCGCATCAAGTGCTCAGGACCATAGGTATCACTTGCAGTTTTGCCTTGATACTCGGGGTCTTCGGACATCCACTTCTGGTACATTTCTGCGTATTGGGCACGTTCGAATCTATCTATAGTTAGTACGTTGTTCCCGGCTGAGAGAAGCGCAACATACCGATAGAGGAGAATACGGCCAAGGGACTTGTCGAAGTACTCTTTCAGGCCCGCCAAGGTCTCCTCAAGGATATCCACATGAGAGGAGCCGGCAGGGCGCTTCGGGGTCTCATAAGCAGCGTAGTCCTCGAGGATCTTCGCCACCGGATGAGGATGAGGGAGGGGGACAAGTTGGTTATTCTTTGTGATGTTCTCCCAATCATCAACAAGCATCGCCTTCAGGATGTCAGGAACAAAAAGCTTGATAGAAGGCCTGGAGTGAAATGCGTCCTCCTAGAAAAAAAAAGGCAGAGTTAGCATCAAGATTCCTAGTAATATTAGACAAGAAGTTCTAGATTTACGGAATCGTCATGGAGGGTAGCATAAGACTTGTCCGACGGTATCCCGGCTGTAGGTATTTTCACGTTGCGGGGCATTCCTCGGTACCAGTAGCCCTTCTCACGGGTCATTGTGCCGTTTTTTCCTGCTTCCTGGATTTTAGGATGGTCCGGGGTGGGAGGAGGAGATTCGAACCGGACATTCGCAGAGAGTTTGCCTTTCTTGGTGACATAGTTGAAACTAGGGGCTGGTAATCGAATAAGGAGATCCGCTCCCTCTTCTCCGCGTGCGAGCCGCTGTTCTTTCTGCATGAAGGCTTTTTGGCGTTTCACGACATCTTTATCCGCAACAGATAACCCAGACGAAGACATTGGCAGTACAGGTAAGGGGGCATTCAAAGGGGTATCAGTGGCGATGGAGAGCTCCTTTTTAGAGGTGGTCTTGGTTGGAGTCCAACTCGTTAACTTAGGGTGGTTTGCTTCTAGTGCAACAGACGACTGTTTCGCGAGTGCCTTTTCAGATCCAACAAGCTTCTTGGGGACTATTTTGATCGTGATCTTGGATGCCTTCTTGCTATGAGATGTGATGTTGGGTTTAGGATCTGATATGGCAGGAGACAGAGATGGTGTGACCATTACAGTAGAGGCGGGTGCAGGGTCCACAGAAACAGGGTCTTCGTCAGTTGTTGCCTTATTGTCATGAGAGGCAGTGGGCTTTGGTGGTGGAATTGATTTCATCTGACTACGAGTTCGCTTGCGCGGGAGCTCGTAATCGTTAATCGAAACCACACGCTTCTTCTTTCTGGTCTCCATTGTTGCTACCCAAGGGGTGGTGTAGCAGAATGAAGCAAGAAGATCGTTAAAGATGAGCGGTTTGTCGCGGAGAAATATACTTGGGTTTCGACAAGAAGAAATTCGACTGTTCCAAATTCACATAGGTGGTGCGGTAATAGTGCCCGTGCGGTGAATAGAGAAGAAAAACTTTTGTCAAGTGTGCTCGGCAACGCGTCCATGCGATAAACCCTTCTCCTAGGACACAGACGGTCGATTATGCCCCTCAATCTTTAGAGTGTTCTTTCCCTGCATGAATAAAGTCGAGAAGGCTGCCAGCCGCCGCCAAAACTGCCGCAGTGTTGACTAGCAACGTAGATAGAATGAGTACTATCCGGCAGATACTGCACGATAACTCCTAGTTTAACAGCTCTGACTCCCGTGACGAAGACCTTAGTACGTATTCCGTCAACCGGCCACGGGCAAGTCCTTGCGGATCATGTCGAGCAACTACTAGTACCTAAACCTAGGTATTTATTCTGGCGATATCCGAGCTTATTAGGTTGCAAGCCGTAGTCACATTTTTCTTGGCCATGACCATGAAATTATTTCAACGAACGGTATCGTGAGCGTGGTCAAGGTCGGTTTGGTTATAGGGCTATTCCTGACCATGCATCTCATGTTTCTTGACAGGGTATATCGCCCCTATTTCCCGTAGGCAAGGGGTGTTGATCCAGGAATAGGAAAACTGATGCCAAACCAAAGGCATATAGGGTTTACATTCTCCAGGACAATACGTTATGACATAAAGTAGAAAATATTAATGAAAGTGGTTAACTTACGTTTTCAAGTTCGTAATCCCTGCCCCGTCGGGGACCTCTGCCAAAGCTTGAGGATCCAGCAGCACGCTCTTCACTACCTCGAGCAGAGCTCATCTCGGAACCGTTAGCCCTGATAACCTTCTTTCCTCCCTTGGAGCCAGAGCTTCGCATTCGGGCCTGAGCCTCTAGCTGACTAGCCAGTTGCTTGTTATCTTCGGTGAACTTGCGGATGCGGTCCTGCGAAACCCAGTCGTCCCAGCTCGCCTTCCATCCTTTGTAGTGGATACGGTACTGAGCATCCTCAGGCTTCTGACCTGGCTTCACAACCACCTCCATAACCTTGGCCTCATACATTAAATCACCGTGAAAACAGAGCACCCTCTCGTCCTTGGTGTAAGGAGGGGCCTGGTTCTGTCTTGAGGGAGCCATAGCCGACCGATGGATGATGGATGATGGATGATGAAAGGGGCTTTATGGCAAGGATGTCTACTCATAAAGAAAGGCTCGAAATGGTAAGTGTTATTAGCTAACGTGAGGAAGAGTGATGAATAAATGGAATATGTATTTGAAAAGAATGGTGCTGAAAGAGAAAGCTATGAAAGTTGCTTAGCGCCGATCTTATTACCATGAAGTTGAGGGAAGGTACTATGTAAAGATTGCCAGGTATTACCCTATCACCCTATCGCTCCTGACGCCAAAAGCTCGGACGCGTTTTCTGACGCGCTTTGCTTTAAAGTGATTTTCCCCAATTCACACCCCGGTGCGCAAACATTATTCCGACCAATTCTTCCATGGAATTAACAGGTACCTATTCCATTAAACCGGACGCAATCAATTCTACCGAAACCTCTTCTCTATATTTAGTAGTTCAAGCTAATTGTTTTTAACCATGGCAACAAATGAGGCCACAATTTTGCGCAACTATCTACTCCTCCCAGCCCGCCTACCTACAATCATCTCCTTACAAGAATTCACCTCTCTATTCCCCAAATCCCAACAATCTTCTCCACAGATCCGGTCGCTTTATAGAGATCTACAGCAGCAGCGCAACGCAGTAGTAGATGGTGTATCCCAGAATATCGACGCTCAGGTCAAGCAAGGTAAAGCTTTACGCCGAGAGGTGATCAAGGCCCGACGAGAAGCCGAGCTAGAGGAGCAAGATGACGAGATTGAAATTGAACGAATGGTATATCACCCTACCTAATACGAAGTTGAAACACCATCTCTAATTCAAGCTACAGCTATTCGGACCTACCTCCAATACCATACAGCCGAAGCAACATACTCTAATGACTATTCTACCTGCAATGGACGACGCTATCACTGATATGGAACATGAGATACAAGCAATGGAGCAGGAAGAAACCGCCCTGCTGGAGTCTACTAGACAAGCCGTTGGCAACATGAGCGACCTCCGGTACGGTCGTTTCGTCAACCCCAAATTAAAAGACGAGGTTCTAGATGGCCTTCGACGCATGCAAGACGTGTGTGAACACAAGACGTGAATCATGATACATTCCGATTTATTAGATCACTACCTATGTGACCCCGACCCAATGATACACAATGCTTATAACGAAGCTTCTTTAGTTGCATCCCAACATAACCACAGCCAGTTTTATAGCGAGTGTCCAATATGCCAACTACATATTACAATTATCTTCGGGGAGCAGCTTGGCCGGCAGCAGGAGGTCGTCGGCCGCCATCCATTTGTTGGTTCAAGCGGTTGCTCCTATACTATTATCAGTCACTTGTTCTATACCACGGGGTTTGAATAACTCACATCATGCTCCTGCTGAAAATAGAAACGAGGATCATAAACGCCCAGCTAGGGAGAAGGTTGAAAACCCAGAGAACCCATCCAACTGGAGCTGCAAGGCCATTCTTGGCTAGAGGGCCATTAAAAGGATGGAAGAAGCCATCATGCAATTGGGCGGCGGATTTGTAGCCCTCCTGCTGCAGTTGTATAATATCATCAGATGTGACAGTTGTCATGTTGAATCGCTTCGTCCAGATGTTAACAGGCGCAGGTTCGGGAAGTATCTCGAAGATCCACAGCGCACCGACCGGGGCGGACCAGGAGTTGCAAAGGACAGGTTGGTCATCGCAGTTCAGAAGAGCGGCATGAGGAGAACCTGGTGTCAGAGCCCATTTCTCAGCAGTTTCGTTGAATGCAGCCTCGATTCTTCCACAGTGGCCTAGTTAATGTTAGGGGTGATGCTCGACTCATGGGTCAAAGTGACGGTAGAGATCCTTACCAAAGCAAGTCTTGTTTCCACCTGTGATCAAAACCCACCACTCCTCTGGAGTTGTAGCGTCTGGCTTTACGGGTCCATAAAGGGTCTCCTTCCAGTTATCCAAAGACAGAATGTCTATATTCAAGGGGCCAGCCTTAGCTTCGGCAGCAGCGACAGGATCATACTTTTTAGGATGAGGAATCTTGGAGATGAATTTTCCCAAGACGCTCTGGGCCTGGCCCAAGTAGTTATCAAACTGAGCTTGATAGTCAAGGGCATCTGCGGCTACTAATAGCGGCAAGCCGAGAATAGCTGAGGCGGTAGAAAATCGCATTTTGCTTGCTACTAGTTTGTGAAATACAAGATATGGTAAATATGGTAAAGTAGGAGTCAAGCTTGAAGTTGCTGGTGGATAGCTCGGGATCGGGTTAAGCTACAACGGGTCGGAAAAATGATGTAATTTTCTGTAATTTTCTCCAACACGGGAGGGCCAAGTAAAAATCAATTGAAGGAATTGAAAGAAGATACAGAAGAATCCCCTAGGATAAGGATATAGCAATGAAGCTGAATCTCGAAACTGCAACGGCCAGCTGTCTTGAACTAGCAAGAAAATAACTAGCAGGAGAGTAAGCGTAGAATCTAAGGTAGAGTCTATTCAGCTGGAGAGTTTTACAGAAGAAAATAAAAATATGTCGAGTAACGGGATTGTCTAGGGTCCTAGGACGCTGTTCGGTCTTTCCAACAGCTACTTCCCCGGACAGCTAAGCTGGATGAGATGACAGGATGACCATATCCTTCCCTGCTTCCCTGCTTCCCTACGTTTTCTTGCCAAGCTTACCATCTCCACCTCTAGCAGTGCATTATTTTGTTGACTGAAGCGCTAAATCCCACTCTGATCCCTGTTAGCGCTGAGCCCCGCATGCTCTGTAGCACAAGAGGCAGAGAGGTACCTAACCGTAACATTCGATACCACTACAAAATACTTCCCTTAGGTACCTCCGTAGGGCATTAGGTACACAAATATCAAGCCACCGTGTTAATGCGATAAGGAGAATACGTCAATCACGATAAGATAGTATGTAAGTATGTACAACCTATTATTAGTGAAGTACGATAGAGGCAACAAACAATACGAAGGTGTTGCCGACTTCAGTTCTTCTAATAGAGCAGTAACGACTAAAAAATCAAGAATATGGTTAGTTCATATCTATTCGCTTCTAATTTTAAGTTAACGTAATAATATTAAGGCACCCGAAACTGCAAATCAGAAACGCAAGCGAGGCCGTCCTACCAACGTGTCGCGCGACGACGGTGACGCGTCAGGATCACAACTCGCCATTTCGAGACAAGGCCAGTTAACTACAAATTCCGGAAACACAAGAGATTCGGAAATGGAAGAAATATCCCGTCCCAGGAAGCGCGGACGTCCAGCCAACACCGAGATTTCGTCTCAAGCACAACCCGAACCTAAACCTTCTCAAACACAGAAAGCCAAGAGGAAGCGTGGGCCATCGCCGATATCACAACCCAATAATGATGGGAATGATGGGGATGAAGGAGATGAAGACCAGGGGAAGTTACCTCCTGATCGAAAAAAACGCGGTCGTCCTCGAGCTTCACCAACGAATGACGAGACCGAGGCTCAAGAACATAGTGTAGCAAATACCAGGGATGAAAATGCACCTCGAAGCAAGCGCGGTCGCCCAGTGAAAGGGTTGGAGGCAACTAAGAGCAACGAAGTCGAAGATGATGAGGCCGATGATGAGAACGAAGGTAACTCGAGCCTTCTTAGGCGGAGTGGACGCATTCGCAGATCTCCAGAGTCATCAAATAAAGGGGCTCAAGGGGTAGTAAAGCCAACAAACGAGGAGAGGTTAGGCGACCAAATAACTAATAAACGCCAAAAGAAAGGACGTCCTCCTACAAATGAACGAACTACGGCCGAAGCAGAACAAGACCCTACTCCCCTGCATAAGAAGAAGCGAGGCCGACCTTCTCTCAGCATTCAACCCCCAGCAGAGGCCAACCCTGAACCCCAAGGTCGGCTAAAGAAACGTGATCGTCAACCACCACCACCTGACGAGAACGCTTCATCATCTACGAAAGGAAAAGGAAAGAAACCCCAAGGCCAGCCAACTCAAGGCCAAGACGTTTCTATAGAAGAAGAGAACCGCCCCAGAAAACAGAAACCCCGCCAGTCTAATAAGACATCACCAAAATCAGGGAGGCGCAGACCGTCTCCCGACGCACAAGACCGTTCATCATCACCTGATTCGGCTACCTCTCCACCTCGTTACCGACACCTTACAACGCGCACACGCCGTGTTCCTCTCAACATCATCGAGTCTAAATGGACAGCCCTCGAGCAACCAGCTCTTACCAGCGTGGCCTCTCTTCTCCAGTCAGCATCGCGGCCCGTGCTTCTACGTCTCAGCAACCCTCAGCGGCACGGGCACGCCGCCGCGGCTCTCAATGCCGTAAGCAAACGGCTTTGTTCCAAGATCGCGCGAGGTCTTCCGTTCCCACCGGCCACCACGTCGACCCGGCGTGAGGAGGAATTCGAGTTCGAGCGCACCGTCTCAGGTATCCAGGCCCTTGAGTCACAGCTCGATCCGCTACTTCACAGTGTTGAGCTGTTGCGCCGCGAGAAGGAACGCGCTGAGAAGGAGCTTGACCGCGAGTATAAGGCGCTCGCCCGGCTCGGCTCCAATGCTCACGCCGAGGCTAGGGAGAGAAGGGATCAGATGCGGAAGATGCACGTACTAGTACCGGAAAAGCCACCGCCCGAGTCGAGGGTTGACCCCGTCGGAGAGGTTGTGCCTACAGAGAATATAAGTGGCAAAGTGTTCACTGATCTGGACGACGAGCTAGCTGGCCTAGCCGGCCAGATCGCGAACCATATGGAAAGCATGCGAGGGAACTTACAGCAGATCGACGGGGTTGTACCCGCCATCACGAAGAGCCAAGGCCTACTGAGGGCTGCGCTACAGTCGCGATTAGATCGTGAGCAGTTGGATAATATCATACTTGGCTAGCTATAGAAGTGTCTAGGTAGTAATGACCCGGCTGACAAAGAACAACAATCCATACTTTATACTGACGTGAATAGGCCTAATGTATAATTTAGGGATTCGGAATGTTTCCCATTGTTAAAGACTACCTAGTAGGGCACATTGCGTCAGGTTACATTACTTGCCTCGACACATCAACTGTTCTTTGTCGAGAGTCCAAAAGGGGCTAAGAATCGCATTCATATACATCTTCTCTTTAACAGAGTTACAATCCCTTGTGACAAGCTCAACAAGCTAGACCCTTAATATTATGTTAAAAGGGCATGTTGAACCTCTTTGATATGATAATAACTTGTTTTGAAACAAACAGCACCCAGGGCCATTGACTATCAGGACGAAGTCTCGTGAGGGAAACTATAAGAGGTAATTAGCAGTTAGAGATGTGTGAAATTATTATACCGCATCTCAAACGCATCAATTGCTTCATTTACCTCAATCTGCTTTTACTATCGAACGTGCATAGATTTATCATTTCTAGTAGTTACATATTTACTAAACTCAAGTGTATAAATCCTTGTACGATCAAATTAATAATACAATCATATCATCATGGACGCCAACGCATTCCCGCCAGAGCTCCAAGACAAAATCCAATGGGCTGGAAACGGCGTGTTGACGTATCGTGATGCGTACACGCACATGAAAAACCCGCCCGCGCAACAGGGGTACGGAACGCCTCCAGCGAATTACCATCCATATGGGAATGGCGTCTGGGCCAGTGTTCCTAATAACTCGCATGCGCAGTCACAATACCCCCCTAGCACGTCTTACTATCCTCCGTCCTCAACCTACCAAGAGACTGTCTACGAAGCCGAGTCCGAAGCCGAGTCGGAGCAGGACACTGTCGGGAGTCTCTCTCGGACCAATACTAATAGGTCTCGGTCGCGCGCTGGGGGCAGCCAGAGCCGGGGCGGAAGTCGATTGTCAAGCCAGGTGTCTGCTGGTGGACCGCCCAGTCATTCATCATGGCGACCGCCTTTCGCATCCCATTTTGGGAGTGACCGGGGCTCCGTCAGCTCGAGCCAAACAGGAACAATCACCTTGCCACTAACAAGGGCCAACGTAAGTGCCGTGTCGGATGCGTCCCAGCGCATATACCCAACACCGTCGCAGCTGTACAATATGTCGCCAGGACACTCACCGAGCCCAGTCCCGCGCAGCGATACGCGTCAGTATCGCAACCAAGCGAGCTCCCCAGGTCCCGGGAGACAGAGTCATCGACGAAGTACCGTTGTGGACTTAGACAGCGTAGCCGGTGGGGCCTCCCTCTGGCCTTCGGGGTCAAGGAGAAGTGGTGCTTAGATGATCGCTTAGATAGGTTCCTATATATATATAGAGTAGTAATAGACCTCCTATAGCGGGCGGCTCTGAAAGGGGGCGAGCATCTAGTAAGTAACAAGTAGTAGTCATAATAGAGATAATAAAATAATAATGACAAATATCATGAAGGCGAAGACAAATAGCGTCTGTCTGAATTAGTTATAGAGAACAAGCCTCGATGTGATAGACCAAGTTGTAGACAGTGATAGAAACACAAGACGAGATTCTAAGTGTTTATCTTCGAGTTGTACCCGAGTGTCTCGACGTACTCGAGTTAGAACCGGTGTTATATTATCAGCTACCAGGTCAGTAATTACAATGCTGGTTGCTTCAGATATAACATAACAAGCGTCCAGGGTGACGTTTATGGTTGAATTAACCTAGTAGCTAATGAATGAATGAAAACTCCAGACGTATCTTCTGCTTTTCAGTTGAGCATAGCGGACTTCTTAACCTCACTAATGTTGGAGAATGCGGACTCCCTCGGCGCAAAGTATTATTCCAGCTGGTGAATGATGCTGTCGTGTTTATCTCATATATATATATATATATAAGTAAAACGAGTAACAGTGTATTATCTAACAAATGTAGAACGAAAAACATATATATCCTCCTTGATTAAACCGCTAGAAGAGTTCAAAGTGTTTAGCTGTGGTGTACTTCGTAGATAGTATATACTAGCTGAAGTGGCATGGTTATAAGGCAAATGTCAGTTAGACTGGGAGGAAATCTCACACTTTTCTGCTCGGGAACATAAAAGACAGATCCGGATCGTTCGCTTCAGTAAGACAGCGGTTTTCCTCTTTCGGGCAGATCGACACTTATTTAAGGAATAGAGAGCAGAGACAAGATACATTACAAGTCAAATCGTAGACATGTGACATCATATGAACCTCTAACATGACATCGCGGAAGTCTACATAGTTCTGAATAGATTACACTACATCACAATCTCACATGCTGCATAAAATCGATCAAATCAAGGACTGAGACAGATTGAAGCTCCATAAATCTCCATTCAAAATGTTTCATCTACACACTACACTAAATACACAAGAATATAATGAAGGCGGGCATATGGCCTCTCAACACGCGCACTGTCGGTCGTGCACGGCGAGCTCCTAGGAGATAGCCGAAGATACCAATCAGCCTTCTTCCCACGTTCCTAGCGACCAGACCGGAAACGGGGATTCAAGAATCAGCCAAGACCGCGTAATCCAAGACACTTTCTTGCAAAAACTGATCCGAAAAATAGGAAAATGCTTGCTCTATTTCCTCCGCGCCTTGAAACGGCGCTTCAAAAACGTGTCGTGCAGTCGTCCCTCGTCATGTTATGCTACAGTTCGGGGTATTGTAAATACAGAGCAGAACGCGCGTCGATTTACCGGAGGATGACGGTGGGGATGGCAGTGCCAGTTGGGTAACTGGGGGCAGAGCCAGTACCAATAGGGGCACTAGGGGCAGAGCCGGTGCCGATAGGGACACTGGGCGCAGTGCCAGTAGGGAAGATAGGTGCAGTTCCGTTTCCGTTGCCAGTGGGGTAGGGGACAACAGTTGCGGTGGCAGTAGCAGTTACGACGCCAGTCTCACTCTCCTCAGGGGGGCAGTCATCACTCTCATCCTCGCCCTCACCTTCACCGCTGCCAGTGTTGCCGGTCGAAGGGGTGCTGGTAGTGGTAGCGGCAGCAGCAGCAGACTCGGAAGCAGAGACGGAGGCAGAGGCAGACTCGGCCTCGGAGGTGACGGCCTTAACACCAGTGGCTTCAGAAGCAGCGGCAGTGATGTAGACAGTGCTGGCGGGTTGGGTCTCGGTAACGGTGACAGTGGTGGCAACACACTCACCAGAGCCGCTGCCGTTGCCGTTTCCGTTTCCGTTTCCGTTTCCGGAACCAGAGCCAGTCTCCTCAGCCTTGACGGCAGTGGAGGTCTCGACAGGGGTAACGGTGACGGTGCGAGTACCAGTGGAAGTTCGGGTCGTGGTGGTAGTAGCCTCGCTGCTAACATCGGAGCCAGAGCCAGAGCCGTTACCATTGCCATTGCCGTTGTTGTTACCGCTGCCCGAGCTAGATTCGGGGATAGGAACAGCAGTAAGGGTAACCATCTGGGTAAGAGTGGACTTTAGGGTAGTAACCAGAACAGATCGAGAGCTCTCAGGGCCGACAGTGATGCTGACGGTCTGGTCAACGGTGCTAAGAGAAGGGTAGACAGAAACACCGGCGCCATTGCTGGGCTGGGTAGCCTCAGGAGAGTTGCCGCTGGTGGAGGAGGTGGTAGGGGCGGGAGTAAAAGTGACGGTGCGGGTGGAGCCGGAGATGAGACCACTGCTGTGAGCACCGACTAGAGACTTGGAAACGGACTCAGCAGCAGTCACGGGGCAGACGGTGGTAGTAAGGTCGATGACCTCGGTGACGACGGCGGGGCCGGTGCTGTTGCCGGTGGCAGCCGGGCAGTTCGTGATAGTAGGAGCACACGAGGTAATGGTGTGGACGGTGGTAATGGCGACGGTTAGGGTAGTTGATGATTCAACGGGGTACTGCCCGGGAGCAGTATCATTTCGTCGCCAGTGGAAGTGACGGGGTTGGTGGTAAGAAGCCGAGGCCATACCGGCGAAGAGGCCGAAAGCTACAGTTGCGGACTTCATCTTGATATTATTTGCGGTTTACAATTGTCTAGATGTGCTTGACAAAGGGTGTTCTAGTCTGATCTCGCAGAGTATATACTTCGTTGCTGTCGAAAGAGTGGACGTATGCAATAAGCAATGCGGGTATCAATGAGCGAAAGTCGATTTCGCTAAGAAAGGGACTAGGGAGTTTGACCGACGACGTTGAAGAGAAAAGAGAGACTTGAGATAGACTCGAAACGAGAGAAACACGCTGATGGTGAGGAAAGAAAGGGAGAAACGAGAGACACTTGACGATAATGGAGGGTGGTGAGCCTTTTTACACTACTCGTACTCACTACTGTGTGTGTACAGGTCCTACAGGACCGACTCCTTACCTTGGCGGCTAGCGTGAAGAAGCCCGGGGGAGACCAGTCTTCAACCAGGCATACCCAAGCATAATCCGACACGCCCAGCGTACCCTAGCCCCGTCATGTTGTTGATGATGAGCGCGACCTATTAGGGAGGACCGTCGGGACCCACAAGATGATGTTGGACCTGGTAAATGTGGTAAAATGTCGTTAGGGACCGGGGGATGGGGGGGAGAGTGACAGGGTGAAAAAGAGAAGGACAACAAGCTTGAGCAAGGGAGGGAAAATGGAAAAATGGGAAAACGCGTTGCTCTCCTGTACGAAGTACCACTTGTGCGACTTGTGCCCCTGAGCCCCACGCACCATTATCGTGACCCCTGTCAGTTAAAGACGCAGGTACAACATGGTGAAACCGGCAAAGAAGCCAATAAGAATTGGATAATCATAGCTAGCTGAGGCTTCAGTAGCCTACAGTAGCCAGCCATGAGCCAGCCATGAGCCAGCAAAGCCTTACGTACGCAGTTTGTACAACAATGACGACGCAGAATGGCGCGCTGCATGATTCTTTTTTACTGAAGTTTATTGTAGGTGTCTTCAGGTACATCGTCCGATCGTGGGTTGGTAAAAGTTGGGACGAGATTAAGCTTGCGCATGGAAGACGTTTGAATATTTTTAGTGATCGGTACATCTTCGATTAGCTTGATGATCTGCGATGTAAGCGCCGCGCCAGTAACGCCATCAGATGATACATATAAAATCATCTCGATCTCTTCAGTAAAAAGTAAACAGCTTGATTTTTATCGATACGTGTTAACGATTCGATTCGGCTCGGCTCATATGCGCTGCGGATATCGATATCCTAGGAATACTCCCTATAACTGCATTTACAGTAGCGGTAGCGGTAGCGGTAGCGATAGACACGTGGAATACAGTTAGTTAGCAATCATAGATCATAAACTCATCATGCTGTAAGACCATGCTACAGTGTAAGACAGGCCTGCACAGAGCCGCGAATAGTAGATTCCAGAATACGATCCCGCGAAATGATGCGCAAAGCCAAGTGACGCAATCCTCGTGGCTAACCAGGACGTGACGCTGCAGAAGATCCCGCGCCCGCGGAGCAACACACGGGTTGAGACTCCCGCATTTTCCTGGCGGACAAAGAGTCTCTCATCTTTCTTCGTAGTCAAGACTGCGGTGGGCGGTGCCCAGGAGACGAATTATGCAGGGAGGACCAGCCGTGACACGCTCGGCGCATTCCAGCTCGGTTTCCAGCTCAGTAGTGCGTTGAGGGCGGCTCGCAAAATCGCATTCAATCGTATTTAATCTCGAGCCGGGGGTATCAAGGGATGATTCGACTATGCGACGTTCTAGACCACACGCTCATCGAAGAATCTCAAACAAGCCCCTTGGCGCCACGCCTGTCCTTGTAATATGTAAGAGCGGTAAGGCTCTTGTAGAATGTTCCACGAACCTCGTTGCCATTTTTATGTTTCTTTGCAAGAAAGATAACCGCATAGGTACCATATTCTGTGTATTTTTTCTCTCTCCCTCCTCGCGATGTGGTGGTATAAGTATGTAGGATCAGTTGCTTGTGAAATCCTACAGTAAAGATCCCTTCCTTTCCATGTGGTAGCCGACGTCAATTAACCATCGACCTACCCAATTCACTCTTTAATTACGGTCTTCAAGAGATCTAGCATTCGCTTAGGCTTTTGGTTGGACCGTGCCGACAGGGTCTTTTGAGCAGGCAGGGTCCCAATCCTTCAATTAACGAAGGTTGCCGGAAGGTTACCTCATTGAGATTGGTGAAATTATCAACAGCTGACTAGGATAAGGCTGGCTAGAAATTAAGAAATTCGGGGGAATAAAGAAAAAGGAGCCACTTGGGTGGATCTCTCATTACTCTTATTATGTACTAAAACACCGCCGAACAATATGAAGAAAAGGGGGCTGACTTACGGTTTCACTAATTCGGCAACTGGATTATGATTCGTCAAGTCATCATAGCA